TTTATTTTCATTAATATAATATGAAGAGTATTGTTTCATGATCTTAACATTATATTAACCCATTCAGAGGTTGTGAGAAAAATGTGTCACATTTATTTATTTATTTTTGACAAAAATATAAAACACTAAAATTTGAATAAATTGTATTTTTTTTAAGCTTTACCATTTATAATAAACCACTTTTTTATTTCGAAAAATGTTTAGATAAAGCCAATCACTTGATTGTGGCCATGCATACGATGCACAAAATTCCTTTGACTTTCCTTGGCTTCAATTTCCGGCGAAAGTATCTGCCGCGCAAAGAGTTAAACGTTCTGTTTGCTAATGTCATTTTAATATTGAAGCTGCTGTTTATATATAATGAGTCATCATATTCACACTTTATAATACTGTTTTACACTTTATAGTATTCTACTATGCGTTATAATATAATGTACTGAGAAAATGTAAAAATTTTAAAGACTGATGGTTTCGTAAAGGATTTTTATTTATTTATTTTATAAATTTTTATTTTAATAACAATAATGATCATAAAAGGTAATAATAAAATAATGATCATAAAAAGTAATAATAAAATAATGATAATAAAAGTAATAATAAAATAATGATAATAAAAAGTAATAATAAAATAACGATAATAATAATAAGGATTATTTTTATCATTATCTACTATAATTTAATAATTAACTAAAGAATCAATTCCATCAATATTTTCATTATAAAAAATAAACTCTATCCATCTGAAATTGATTATTATTAAAATAAATTGATAAATGAAGTTTGAAAATGAAAATTTCTCTTCTTCTTTTTTTTATATCGACTTCTATAAGACAAAATGATCATATTTCTAAGATTTATTCGCTATCTTAACATTTTATAAACCATCATTAGATAACATTTAAAGAACGATGAGTTTTAAAGTGTCCCATCAGTATTCAGTGTTTCCTCTTGCAATAAAATGTAAAATACATTTTAACTTTATTACTATATTGGTTAAGGGGGAAAAAGATAGTTATATTCGAGAGAACAATGAAACTCTAAATTGGTCGAGATACAGATAAAATGTAAGCAGGGAATTTAAATATCTTGATAGCTTAAAATAATGAAAGGAATAAATTTCTCGTTACAATTTTACGCTAGGTTTAATACGGAAAATTATTGCTATTAGTTATCCAGTAATAATTTAAATGTAAGGATAAAAATTACAGGTATATATTTTAATCAGATCAATAATTGTTTCCTCAAAAAGTTTGATTGGTATATAAAAATTTAAAACATAATAAACATAACTATTTAGTCACTTTAATGTTGAAGCTACTGTTTTCCAAACATGTTTGATATGACTCGTCATTCTTACACTTTATATTATTATATTAAACTTTATAGTATTTTGCGCATGCTCTATTAAATCATGTACTGAAAAAATTTACAAATTTTAAAAACTGATGATTTTTCATATGATTTTAATTTATTTATTTTATAAATTTTAAATATGATAAAAATAATGATAATAAAAATGTATGATAAAATAATAATAATAATTAACATTATTTTCATAATCATATACTATAATTTAAATATTAATTAAAAATAATACAATGAATTTTTTTAAATAAACTCTAACCATCTGAAGTTTAATATTCTTAAAATACATTGATAAAGGAAGTTTAAAAATAAAAGTTTCTCTTCTTCTTCCTTTTTTTATAGTTTGACTTCTATAAAACAAAATGATCCTATTTCTAAGATTTATTCTCCATCTTAACCTTTTATGAAACATCATAAGATAAAATTTAAAGAACGATGAGTTTCAAACAGTCCCATCAATACTCAGTGTTTTCTCTTTCAATAAAATGTAAAATACATTTTAACTTTTTTGCTATATTGGTTAAGAGGGAAAAAAGATAGTTATATTTCGGAGAAGAATGGAATTTTAAATTGATCGAGATTCGGATAAAATGTAAGCAAGGAATATCTTGATAACTTTAAATGAAGAGGAGAATAAATTTCTCATTGCAATTTCACGCTAGATTTAAAGCAGAAGCATTTATTATTTGAAAAAGAATTGATTAAAAATGTAGTGATATTTGTTTTTCAGTTAGAGCTTAAATGTAATTGTAAAAATTACAAGCGTATATTTTAATCTACAGCTATTCTATTGAGAAAATAATTGTTTCATCAAAAAAGAAAAAAAAAAGTTTGGTGTATAATAATTCATATAGATATGATAAGATATAGATATATATTTCGAATTAAAATATTTCGTTGAATATAAGAGCATTTATCTGAATTTTGCAAATGATATAAACTTTAAAAATTTAATCTATAGCAATTAAGAAATTTTCTCATCACAATTTCTCATTAGATTTAAAGAAGAAGCAATTTTATTCAAAAGAATTTGATTAAAAAATTATTGTCATCCCTTTTCACGCATTAACTTAAATGTAATGATAAAAATCACAAGTGTATATTTTAATCTATAGCTAGTGAGAAAATAATTATTTCAAGAAAAAAAGAAAAAAAATGTTTGGTATATAATAATTGCAAACAAAAGAACGTAGCTAACTTGATAAAAGGATTAGACTTAGATTTAAACTTTTTCATGAAAATATTTTCCTGAATATAAGACTATTAATCTGAATTTTGCAAATGATAGATACTCTAAAAGTTTATTCTATAGCTATTGAGAAAATTTCTAAGAGAAGAGGCATTTTTCAATTAAAAAAAATATGAAAAAATATTGACATTTGTTTCCTTGTAATAATTTAAATGTAATGATAAAAATTGCAAGCCTAAATTTTAATACATAGCTGTTGAGAAAATAATTGTTTCAGAACGAAATATGTTTGGTATATAATAATTGTAAACATAAGAATATAATGAATTTGGTAAAATGATCAAGATAAATATAGAATTTTTAATTAAAATATTTCATTTGATATAAGAGTATAATTCTGAATTTTGCGAATGATAGGTGCTTTAAAAATTTAAGCTTTCACCGCGCCCTTTTTAATGTCTGCAAAAAGATGCTTTCATTAATAAAATAATTGACTACAAGTCTTTGCTAGTGTCAACGCTTTAGGACGCATGTAGTTTCGTTAGTTCTGCAACTACTGACATTTCCGTAAAAGGAATAATCTATTTTGTGTTTCTTATTGTATTTAGAATTCAATTCTGTTATTTCATTTCTCATATTTCAGTTTTTATTTTATGTTTCATGATATTGTGTTTATCATTTCAAATATTATATTTACGTTGTGTATCAGTGAATTTACAAAATTATACACTCAGTTTTGCAGATATGCAAAGGGACAAAAATAAAACTTTTTTCCTAATAAACAAAACTATTTATTGTACTATTAGTTATTATAAGCAATTATAAAATAAACAAAACAAAACTACTGCAATGCACTTTACTAATTTTATAACTTCTTTTACTGAGCTTTGTATTTCATGTTCAAAAGCATTTTTTAAAAATTCTAAACAAACATATTCCGACGTAAAAGAAATAGTTTTGTTAACTACCATTTGTGAAAAGTTTTATGAAACGAAAAATTTATTATAACTACATGTTTTAGTTATTTAGAAGTATTATAATTACAAATTTAGTTAATTGTTAGGTATGAAATGAATAGTTAAGTTTATTTATTACCTGAAAAGTAAAGAAATGAAATTTTCTATTTTTCAAAACATCTTCCTTTTTCAAAAATTATTATTAGTAATAAATGTTTATTACTAATGGTTTTTTTACTTAACTTGGTGCAAGATAAAAAAAAAATATTCATGAAAAATTTAAACAATGAAAATATCCATAACACAAATTTTTGTAATGGATCACTTTCATTACATTATGAATTTTTTATGAACAGTTTGCATAAAAAACACTTTTTAATTACTGTTAGATAAAGTATTTTTTTTCCTTTATAAGGTAGGTCTTCATCAATGGAAGCATTTAAAAGGTGATTGTGAGCTCGAAACTATCAAAGCACCAACTAGGCACTTAATTTTTTTGTTCAAATTTATATTCAAATATATTATTTAGCAAACGGCTATTATTAGGTAACATTATTGGGGAAATGTGAGAAATTTTCTTTTCCTTATTGTGAAATAAGAATAGTTTCTGTGTTATCATTATGTAATTGTTTACATATATCATTATCATTACCTTTAAATGACACAATTTTCTAAAAAACACATATTCGTCTCGTTTTCCAACATTGTGTTTTTAAGCGAAAAAAAATAATAGATTTTGTTAAAAATTTATGTAAATAAATAGCCTTTCTACCACATATTTATTTCATTTTTTAGTATTTGATTTTACTATATGACTTAAACCAGATGGTTTGTACCTACGTACCTACCTTTTATTGACCATAATCTTTAAAAATATAATATAAAGTTTACAAAAATTTAGAGAAAAGGTAAGAAATTGTTTTTGAAGGGGAGGAAAGTTTTGGTAAAATTTTGTAGTAAATGGTAAAAATATTCCTGGTTTAAAAAAAAATGGTAATTTTCCCCTTCTTATAGTAACAACTTTCCGGAAGATCTGATTAAAAGTAAAATTGAAAAGTAAATTTCACTCAATAAATGGTTCTTATGCAATGATCTAAGGTTTCATGATTAAATTAACAAATTTAGCCACATTTTGCAAATCAAATCACGTAGTATAAAAGCTATTATACAAAGCTAATTATTTTTCTCCAAAATCATAACTAAATCACTTCGGGAGAAAATTAGAAGCTTTTTATTGTTCCCATAGGGCAAGAGACACTACAAATTTTTTCCATATTCCGTTAGTTTTGACCATACTTTTCTTCTTGGTGGTGTGTTTTGTAAATATTCATAGATTATTACCACGGTTCATATTATCTTCAAATTCGGTGTCAATAAAACTAATCACTTACCACTACCATTATTAAAATGTGTCAGATATCATTGATATGAATTTGACCAATTATATAATGTATTTTCAATTTTATAATTAAAAATGAGAAACAGCAAAATATCAAAAGACATTTATTTATAACAACAATTTTAAATATTTTGATTGACTAGAGTAAAAATTCGGTTTTGGCAGGGATTTTTCCAAACATTCTCACTCAATATAATAACAGTTTTGATGATTCATTTAAAAAAAATGATGATGATTTCTCAGAGGAATGTCATCGCATAGGTTTGTGTTGACTGATGTTTGTTTGATTGCTCCATTTTTCCACGTCTGTATTCCCGCCCACACTTTCAGGGTTTGGTAGCTTTTGAGTGACTCCCTCTGTACGATTGGAGAAACTTGAGCTAGAGTTCTGGCTGGCACCTAGAAAATTTAACATTTCATTAAGAATAGCTTTTCTAAAATGAAAGTAATTTACGAAGCTTTTAGATACGAAGAAAATAGATTCCAATTCAAATACTTTTTTTTATTTTCATGTGGTAAAAAGGGTGACTTTTCACTGGTATTTAAACGAAAAAGTAAGTTAGTGCTTAGAGTTTCCCTTATTCACAAGAAAGAATCACTCTTCTTTATTCGACTGATTTTTCTTATTGTCTAAAAAGTGTGCAGTGATTCAGAGTGCTTTTAAACTTGAAAGCATGGTAAGAATCATAAGAATTTATAATTGAACAGCTGCTGTTGGCTCGAAATGGCCTTGCACGCCGCCAGCAGCTCTTTACACAAGTAAAAACAATTTTAAAAAATCTATTTTTTTGCAACAAAAAATACCAAGAAAGCAAATAAAACCACACCGAGCTAAATGATCTTCCTATATAAGACCAATACTTTGTAAAACAATCTGTACACTGAACAAGAAAACTGAGAACTTATCTACTGCGGCGGAAGTCTTACAGAAGCTGGGTCAGTCAGAGAAAAAACATGTCAAATAGGGTGTATGATGTCCTTAAACTGCTACACATCTCTCACTTCGGCCTTTCATACTGTTCATCAGAATCAGTCCATGTATTAACCTCATCCACCCTAGAGCTCATTGATAGTCCTTGGAGCTGGTCCTCGAGATACAATTGAGTGCTTGTGCAATATGTGTTCAATGGGATAAAGGGCAGTTGAAACCACAGATCATTCCAATCAATGAATGTCTCAAGATTGGGGGTATTCGTCCACCAACTAAGCACTTTGTGGAAATGGAAAGGCGTTATTATCTATAAAGGACATTTAGTCCATATATTTCCTGAAAAAGTCTCAAGTAGGGTCCAAGGATATCATCGCTGACTTGCCAAATTGCCTCTATCGTACACATGAAGGTTGGTTTGCCCGTCTGCCATGATGCATGTGTAGACAATCAGACCACCTCGGTCCTTTTCGACAATGTAAGAGGGTCGATATCAACTCCCGGGTTCTTCCCAGATCAGAATACTCTCAAGTCACAGCACAAACTGGCCATAACATCACTGAAGAGAACTCACTCGATCTCAAACATCCACTGTATATGACAGTTGATCTTGGTGCCATGCAAGATGGTCTTTTTATGGTTCACAGTCAGGAGTCACACAGGGATGCAGACTACATCGCACCTGACATATAGGTCACCTTCATTAAGTTTCTGGGTGCTGATATCCATGAAATAGATGTTCTTGTTGCAGACTGTTTATTACTGCCATGGATCTATCCTTTTTGGTTAGAAGTCTCAAATAACGGGCTTAAGCCGCCGTTTTTACCTTTTGCTGCCTTGACCAGGTCCGCAGACTACTGTTCCTATCTCTGTGAACTATTTCCACAGAGTGGTAACCACATTTCCTGAAACCCCGAGGTCTCTACAATAGGTATCCGGTGATTTGCCCACCTTGAGACTTGAAACTATCCGCAATCTTGTAGCATTACCTTGACCGGCCATACTAACGATGGGTAAACAAATAAATTGATAAGATATGTTCAAAATGTCCTTGCGTGACAAGCTTCGGCAAGCAAATGAGCTACCTCGGCATGAACGCTATTAACCCACTGACGGTTCTGCACGTAAAAAGTCGCATTTTAAGCTGCAGTCTTCTCTGCATAGCAAAACCGGTTTTCCCATGTTAATAGATAGGGGAACTGTGTGTAGGGGAGAAACATTCTCCCAATTTTGCCCATTTCCTTAACCGCCAGTGGGAGCGCCACTACGTGGCATAGTTGTCTGCTCAGAGAATTGTTATTATCTATTCACGTATAGATGTTACTTGTTTTATTCTTTTTTTTAGAAAAAAGCCATTTCGGCATTTAATTGTTTTCATCAGTGTCTCCGAAAGTTCCTCAAATACCATAATGATTTCAAAAAATTGTCTCAAATATTTCAATTAACAAATAAAAGAAACAGTAAAAAAAACAAGTTACAAAATACAAGGTTTCTCCCCTTAAAAAGATGTTAAACTAGTTATTGAAAAAAATACCAATCATATTAGCGTAAATTGTACACAGCAAAGCATAAAAAAATCCAATAATTAGAAATACAAACGTTACCTACCTTGCTTATATGAATTAGACATATAAATAGGCCTTGAAGGACCACGTTTAATTGTTGCAAATAAACCATCAGAAGATTGCTGCATAAACAAAAAAAATATAGTAGCTTTAAAATGAATGAAATTTAAAGTGACTGAAATTGAAAATGAATGATACTTAGCTGCTTTTAATCTCTATGTTGCAAGCGATAGATTAAATCGAAACATTGCAATTTATAAACATTTCAGATATTTAATTTTTGAAACAACACTTATCATAAAAGTTTAATATATTTTTTTTGTATTTTCAATAACTGTCTACTATTATTCTTCCAAAGATCCCCTTCTCAAATAATAATCATTAATACTATACTGTTAAAAATATCCGTTTAGTGACAGTCTCTGCAGGATATTTGCAGGATTAAAGGCCATTTATGGACAAAAAAAACGTTCACCCTAAACATAAGCATTTTCCCTTAGGTCCACCCAAGTAATAATATTAATCATGATGATTAATAGTACACTGTTAAAAATAAACGTTTCAAGACTTTCTCCGTATATTTTGAGGATTACAGTTCATTTGTTGACAAAAATCAGTTCAGTGTTTTTCACCCTAAGCATAAGCGATTACCATTCTTCCAAAGATCCCCTCCAAATAATAATAATTAATAGCATACTGTTAAAAATACTCGTTTCATGACTTTCTCCATATATTTGGCAGATAATAGTTCATTTGTTGACAAAAATTGGTTCAGTGTTTTTCACCCTTATCATAAGCAGATTACAACCTTAAATTCAAATTTTAATTACAGTACGATTACGTTACTTTTTCCATGGTATTTTGTCAGCCATCTTTTATTTTTTCACGCCTTTACGGATTTTAACACAATAGGTCTATAATCCAACCGATGATATCCCAGTGCAAGAAACACACGTTTTCAATCGAATGCCTGGATTAAATTTTATAATACAGTACAAAAACCTCTTATCACGCTTTAACATTGGAACTAATCTCTCTGGTTATCGACGATTTGCAGCGCCTTCTGTCGGAGTATGTTCTGATTAAATTCTAAATTTCCAAGTCAATGCATTTTTTCTAGCTTTCGCACTATAATACCGTTTGTTTCCTTCTCTTAGCATCTTTTGTCTCCAAAATTTTTTTAACATCAAAATCACTCAGTCCATGGAAAATTAGTAGCTAGCTGAAATCATTTATGTGTTCGTAAAATAATTGACTTGAAAACTATGAGCTTCCCCAGAGATCCATAAATTAAACTATTTGAGGATTATCCAGGTTCCCAAATTCTGTTAACTTCTTTTTTTAAATTTAGTTCTATTCTAGAGAGACTGAGAGAAATTTCGAGAGAAAAATAGACACTTAACATAGATTAATGATAAACCACTGTCCGAATCTAAGTATTTTCGGAATTTATATGAAATATTTACGTAATATTTTATTACAAAATATATATAGGTTTAGTTTTGTTTAAAAAATATTTTCTTCATATCGCCAGGTTTTTGTTCATCCTGTAAAGTGTAAGAAAAGTCGAAGTTGTGAGAACCTTTACAGATTCATAGGTATATAATTATCCGTATATCTCTCTAACTATGTCATCATAAGAATTTACATGATTGTTAAAACCTGATCTTTGTTGTAATCGATGCACGCCTCAGTCAATTACAAAATAATAAAAAATTTCACTTTAAAGTTAAACAAAAAAGCTATTAAAAAAGAATAAAAGTCGTGAATAGGACAAAGGGGATAATAATAAGTAATTATTTTGATGAAATTCAATTCCTTAAATAAAAGATAGAATTTCATTTTACAGAACTTTAAATGAAATCCCAATAATTTGTTTTTCCGATTCGGGATATACATTACTAAAGACATTCCATTTTCGTACATAATTTTATACGTTTTATTTGCATTTAATGCAGATAACGTTTTAAATAATACTAGAACTGCATTTTAGTATACAGCTTAAAAAAGTGGATCGCTTAAATTTTTTACCTGTCTTGTAGAAACAGATTCTATACACGTGTACGGCTCAGCATAATCCCCCTTGTTCGCTTCAAAAAAATAGAGATAAAAACATTAATTTAAACAAGCAGAAATGCTGGAAGGTAATTTTATTCGCAAATCAGCTATCGTCATTATAAGTAAAAACTACTATGATTATGAATAAGTAAAAGCTACTATGATTATGAATAAGCAAAAACTACTATGATTATGAATAAGTAAAAACTACTATTATTTTAGCAACAATTTCAATAATCATTTAATAATAAGAAATGAGTTTCAAACGTGTTGCATAAATTTATTCTGAAAAATAAAAAAAAAGCGTTGATTATGTTATTGGTTATTTTAAAGGGAAACAAACATCTAAGCTGTATGCGAAATAATAAAAGCAGAAACTAAATATTTACTAAGCAATAATATGATATGGCTGTAAAGGCATTGAATAGCAATTAACACTATTTAACAGATAAACAGCTGCTAAAATTAACTCTCACAGGGAAAGTTCTTTTACAGTGTTATTACATTTTATACTGTAAAAAATTAAGTCATATAAATATTGTTATAATCGTAAAATAATCTTCATTAACTATTTTGGCGTTAAATTGATTTTATTATGCCGTAACCAGAGAAGAAAAATATTTTTTTTTTAAATATTTTTTTGCAGCGAAAATAAATTTTGAAAAAAAATTTTTTTTCAAGTATAAACCTATCAAACTCACTAAAGATAGAATTTTACACGCGTGTATAAAGTAAATGTTACTTCACCGTATAATTTACTTCTCCGTATTATATAAAATATTTAATATTTTATTACAAATTAATAATAAGTACATATTTAATGAGTTGAAACCACAGAAAACTTATTACAAAATTGCAAACTATGTTTGTAAAACTTAGCACTGATGGTGCTTCGTTTGCATTTTCCTGTACACATTAGGCACTATTCTAAAACAAGTAATCTATTCAATTACATTGAATATTATTGTTTATATTTTATTTTGTTCTTACAACTAGATTAATATTAATTTTTAATTAAAATATTTAGTTATATTTATATATATTTATATATATATATATATAAGACTTCTGTATAGCCCTACATTTCATGAAACATTAATTATTACTTAAACATTATTTGTTAGATATCATGTTCAACTTACCAGTTGGGCAAGAATAATGAGATGGCTTTGTAGATTTTGTATTTATCTGCTTATTTAGATCTTTCATCATCAAAGTATCTTTTCTATTTTCATATTCTAAAAGGAAAGAAAAAGATTTGATTTAAATATTAAAAGTAGATATAGCTTACCAAACTCTTAATATCCACCCTATTAACACCAGAACTCACAGATCTGTAATTATTTTTGAAAGTTCTCGAAAAGCTCGAATAGCTACATGGCGTACTATTTATAGCGCTATTTAGTTATAAAAATCCTTTTAATATTTCATGAATTACTTTTTTAACAGCGGTGCGAGATATTCCAACTGCAAAGTTATCGACTATAAATAAATTACTATGCAATACACCTCTCAAAGATTCAAGTCTGAATCACTTCTAAATATCGATACCTTAACCACAACGATATCTTTAATAACTTTTAGTACGTAGACATTTTCCCTTACATATATTTATACATTTTCCCTTACATGTATTTATTTTATTTCTAGTTAAGATTCCACCTGAATTTGAAATAACTATGATTATAAATTTATTAACGTTATATAGTATATTTTGGGGATTACAGTTCANACATTTTCCCTTACATGTATTTATACATTTTCCCTTACATGTATTTATTTTATTTCTAGTTAAGATTCCACCTAAATTTTAAATACCTTTGATTATAAATTTATTAACGTTATATACTTATATCGTTACATATTATTATATATCGTTATATATTAATGCATGCAAAGAAGTAGAAAACATTGGTGATAATATATTATTTTTTGAATTTTTTTTATTTTCTTATTTTATTTCTATTCTCTTTTATTTCGTTTTTTTATTTTATAAACATCAAATAGCTTTTAATAAAAGAGAGTCTACAATTACTGACGGATTAATAATTAGTTATTTTCATTGAAGTTTTCAGTTAATTAAAAAAAGAAAAAAAATTAAAGAACTTTTTAGCATGAAATCTTGAGTAATTAGTAGTATAGATTTTGAATTTTAACAAATATATTTCAGTATATTTGTGGTTTTATATGTTATATTAATGCACTAAAAATAAGTTAAATGTAGCATGTTTTTGTTATCTTGACATAGGATACAAAACGTTCAATTTAACTTTTTTTTTGCCAGTGCTGTAATGTGCTTGAAATTTATACATCAAATTTACTAATATTTTCACATTATTTTAATTACTAATTAAAATATACGAAACATTTTGGAGCTGCTTGACCCATACGGTTAAGAATTTCTCAATTTATTCCACGAGGTGACGCTGTTGTCTAGATCAGCAGTTGCTACTTAACTTCGAAACAAGGCCCATCACTTCGTAATTTCACACTGGTCACTAACTTCTAAAACTGTTAAATTTTCAAAATAAACAACTATTTATGTAACAGGCGACTAATTTATCGATGAGCATATCACAAACAATAATATAGCGGCCATCACATTCATTCACTAGAAACAGAATGCTTACTGAAATCGTTTGCAAAACGAAGTAGAAATACGCAATAGCTCTAGAACAAATAGAAGTTTTCCACAAGGGGCGGAGTTTACGTGGCTAATTCACGTGGATTGACAATGCACTTTTACAAAGTGATAATTTCCCTGGGGACAATAAAGTGATTACTCAAAAATTGTCAACCCAGTATAAACTTTGAACAAACAGGTTCTATGCAGCGAATGTCATTCTACTCTGTTGGATGAGGATTTTCCTGATTTTAAAGCAAAACACTGTCTATAACTGACGATAATGAGCAGTTGTCAGAACAACAAAAATTGTTTTACCTTCAGTCGGCACTTACGAACAATGCTAAGCAAGTAATTATGGTAAATTATACAACAGCAGTTTATTCAGAAGAACGATTGAAAAAAAAAGATTTGAAAATATACGCGGTTACTTATTATACACGGATGCATATTATGAGAGATACTGGTGAAATGTTTCTAAGGTTACACTTGTATAATTTATGTTTAAGGTTACACTTAATTACTATGGTTAATTTAACTAATTAAGGCTTAAGGTATACAAGGTTATACTTAATACTTTTCAAAGGTTAAATCTGAATCAGCGTTTATTTTAAGACAGATGCTCGATAAAATTTACTATAATTTCATTAAATAAATTAAAATGAGAAACGAATCTTCTTTTCGAAACTATACTAATTTAAATAATTTTATTAAAAAAAATATTGAGATGCGCGTAAATTATACGAAATGGATTTTGGCTTCCAAATTGGGAAAAAAATACGAAATTTTCAACTAAAAGAAGTCAAACACTAGAGTTGTAAGCGTAAATTCGGGAGAATCTAACCTCGCATAGTTAATATGGTGAAATGCAAAACTAATGGTGAAAAATGATATGAAAAATAATTATATTCTAGGAAGTATGGAATCGCACTCTATTTTCAAATGTAAAATGCTTATCGATGATGATGCGGATGACAGATTAAAATGTGTTCAAGATATCGAAGTTTAAATTGTTTCGGTATTCATACAATGTCTAGAAAAAGAAAATTAATTTAAAATCTAAATTTTGCATCAAAAATCATAGTGCAATGTTTATTTTTTTATTCTTTTTAATGGCAGGCATTCAATTTGCCTTGGAAGGTGACGGGAGTGTTGCTCATTTTTCGTTGATTGGTGAGCACCTTGTGACCAAAGTCGCAGAAACAACGACCTTACTCACGCCACACTGTCACACATACCAGTCCATAAGGTGGGCCACATTCCCCTTTCCCGCTAAACATAGGACACTGCACAAAGAGAAACATCCATGCCCTGAACAGGATTTGAACCCGCAGCTATTGGCTTCGCCTTTAGGCACGCTAACCGATCGACCACCTGGCCGGCTCATAGTGCAATGTTCTGTACTTTATTTGTAGTACCTTATTTCAATGTAGGTACTTCATTTACTTCGCACTAGAGCTGCACAATTGGCTATTGGTGACGGTCTGGGAAACACCCCTGAGGATGATCCGAAGACTTGTCATGGCAATTTTGATCCTCTACAGAAGGGATGGCACCCCTGCTTTGTGGCCCAACAACCTGCCCTCGAAGTAAAGCAATTTGTGGTAGAACAGTTTAACGAGGGCCAATACTGCACAACCTCGGTCCCTACGTTGGCTGATCAAAGTAGTGACCCACCCGCTTACTGACCGCAGCCAGTGAGGCTTGACTTTACTGTCTACTGAGAACCGTGTCTCTGCGATAAGTCCACTGGGGGACCAATGTTACGCGGGGCTAATCTTTTTCTTCTGGAGATAAATCAAAGCAAAAGTAAGTGCGGTAGTAGCTCCAATGAGCAGTGAAGAAATAAATAATTCTGTTTCGAAACAAGACGTAACAATATCACAAATGCCAGACGATTTTAATAAGTATGAAATCGCTTATGACTGAGGACGCAGTTAATTTGTTGGATTTTAAAAAGTCGTGATGTAGGTCACATTTAATTGGATTAAAACTGTATCTCCGATTATTGTAGAATCCTATCACCAGTAAATAAAGATGAGAAATAGTTTAGATGGAAAATATAATTTATTTTTATTTCTGCCAGACATTTCCGGAAATGTTCCTATTAAAATATTAAATATTTGTAACTTGAATTTGCTTGAAAAAATAAAGTATGCTAATACTAATTTTTATTTACCGCAATAAATAATGCTTTTTTAGGAGGTGAAATATTTTATGAATTCTTTATATCAAATCAAATTCGATTAAGGGGTAATTCTATTATTTTAATTGAAGCAGTTTCCGGAATTATTGATACAGGTTCTGCAAACCTTTCCATCTACGAATATACATAATTCCAAATATCACTTCACATAGATCAGTGTTAATAAAGTGTTAAATAGTTTTGGGGAATCAGAATCTATTGGTATCGTTCCAAATGATAATTCGGAAGAGAAAAGTATTGTTTTAGCTCTCTCTAAAATCTCTTCGTTATTAAATGACGGGAGGTATCAAGTCAGGCTATCCTGAAAACGTGATTTCAGGGAGAAGTTAAATAATAGCTAGTCACTTAACATCAACAGGGCTTATAGCAAGTTTAGAAAGATTTATTTCTACAAGAGGTAAGGCGTCTAAAATTTTCATTGGCAATTGACGAAAATTCATTGGCGCAGATGTTAAACTGAAACGGTGTTTTAAAATTATTAATTTACCAGAATGGTGCAATATTTTACTGAGGTAAAAATTGACTGGCACTATAATCACCCCCAAAATCACCGAATTTTGAAAGATTATACGCGAAGTCGGCGTTAAATCTTTTAAATTCTACTTAAAACGAATAGCAGGAGATTTTATTACCGAAGAATTCCTTACAGTTTTACCGGAAATTGATGGAGTGTGAAACTCCAAACCATTGACTTCCTTGTCATCTTATTTTGAAAATTTTGAAACCCTAATGTCAGGGCATTTTTTTATTACCTATCACTTGCATCACAGAATCTCATCATGGAGATATCAATGAAAATAGATTCAGTAAATGGGAAAATATTTCTCAAATTTGGAGACTTTGAAAGAGATATTAAAATAATCTCGAAGAATGCCATAAATCGTAGTTCAGCAAAAAACAACTTTAGGTTTATGACATGAGTCATGGTAAAGGAAGAAGTTTTGTCGGGTTTTAAATGATAAACATGGAGAATATTCAAAGGAAGTAATAGAAAGGCAAGAGTTACAAACACATGTTTGCCACAAGGCGGCATACTTACATGAACAGTAGGTAATAACTGTAAGTAGGAAGTGTATTTTAAGTGTGTGTTAACCACTGTGTTAAAATTTCATTAAAATTATTATAGTCAAAAATTGTAGTTAAAAATTATAGTTTAACCTTGCTACAACCTGTAAACCGATCTTGCTATTAAACTTCATTATACGATACTATAATTTATATTCGTAGTATAGTTGATAATATGGTAACGGAAGAGTGATTTAATTTAACACCCTAATCAAGATTGCGCCAAGTTTGAACCGTGATATGGTTTAAAGTAGAAGATAATATCACGTAAGCAATTATCTCCCAACAGATTTTAAAGATTTTTTTCAAAGTTAAACAGTGTGAGTGTTTGATTCTCGCTGTTAGTCACCTGATTAAATTTTTGTGAAAAAAAAATTATTTGGCCGCTCTTTGCTGAATTCAACTGAGCGGTTAGCACAAAATGCAACTTCGTGGTAAAAATTCGGCTTTTTTAACTTGAGATACCAATCACGAGCTTTCAGTTGTAGTACTTTCCATGCACAGCACAACTGCTATGAACAGCTTTTAAGGCTTTAGAACACTTGATGAAACAAATAGTTGAGGCAATCGAAAATTTCTCATTTTCTTCACTTGACATTTCAATTTAATGGTCTAAGACTTAACAAAAAATAACTCGAACAGAAAAAACAAAGCAATAATTCTGATTGAACTAAGAATCATCTTTCGAATGATTTAAAACGTTATGCCAAAAATACATAATATTATGCGGAATAATGTTACATTTGAAAAAAATGACATAAGCTTAGTTGCTAACCCAGTACGTTTTACGTTCAATCGATAATTTTAAGAGTGTAGTAAAGGATGTTGAGAAAAGGACATTGATAAGTATCATGAAGGACGTTGATAAGTTTAAAAGAAGCTGATAAGTATCATCAAGGACGTTGATAAGTATCATCAGTATTGCATCGTTTGATGCTTTTTCTTGATATTCTTTTCGTATGTAGCATAGGAAAATTTTTTTTTAATAATTGCTTAACTTACCTAATCTCCCATCTCTTTCATCTGAATGTTTTCTTAAGCACACAACTATGATAAAAATAATGATCACTAGTACCAGAGAGGAAACAACTATGGGCACCACCAAGGTCACATTTTTATAAAATGGTACATCTGTTTCTCTCTTTCCAAATGCAGGAGATGATGTAGGAGCTGTTGACAAAATAAATTTTATTTATAAAATTTTAATTTTCAGTATCCTAAAAAATAATTCATTTTGTCAGAAAAGAAATTCATTTACAGCAAAGAGTTTACTTCCTTCAGTAAGCATAGCTAGTTTCATTGTTAACTCTTAAATTCCTTTTAAATTTCAAAAGTTGTTGTTTTTGTAAATTGCTTACAGAACTTACTGAAAGAAACAATGTCATACACATTTTCAGCACGACCGTATTTCTACAATGCTTATGGTCTGTAATATAATGCACATTTCTAATCAAAAATATATTCCACAAATTTAAAAATGAACATCATAAAATACAAACAATCAATGAGGAATATATTTATTCAAAATTTTAAACAATTTTTAAACAATTATAGTATTTATTTTTTATTTTAACTTTAAACACTAAATAATGCATCGTTACATTTTTTAACTTTGTTAACATATGATTAACGCTTTTAATTGTTTCATTTAAAATTAAAATAAAAATTATGATACCATTTCAGATCATTTTGCCTATAGTGAGATTAAAATTATAATTTATTTCATATAATGTAGTGTTTAGCATTTAATATATCAATTACATTAAAAAAAATCTTTGTAGTACCAATATTGATAAAAATAATATGTCCCTATAAATACCATTTAAAATTTTATATTTTTTATAATAATATTACATTGAAACCTTATGCATCAATTTTGTATTTATTTTAAAGTAAAATATATCAAATTCTTATATTATGAACATTGCATAAAAATACATCCTAATGCATATTGCTGTTAAGAAAAAAGTTGATATTTCTTTTCTTAAAAATGTATCGATAACTTATATCTAATAGTATAAGAACTACTATACCTATTATAGAGGTAAACTACTATGTCTATTATACCATGTAAAATCTATACCATAGTTAGGTACAAAATTATAGCTAAATACTGGCCTGAATGATTGATCTTAGTACCTAGAGGGTTGAGGGAGGCTGTACGAAATGAATATTCTGCTTGTGTTAGGCCAGCGTCACTGTGAGCTGTTAACATAACTTCATATTCTCTGTCTGGTGAAAGATTTCTTAAAAAATAAACATCTCTCGGCATTTCCAATTTTTCTACAACTTTTGACCACTGGCTGATATATTTTGGCCGGTACTGAATTTCGAAATGCTTGATGGGGCAGCCACCACTTTGCCAAGCTCCAAGATTCAATACAACGAAAGTTGTGTTTGGCGACAGGAAATGTGAGCCATGAGGTGACATTGGTGCTGGAAAATATAAATAATAATACCAATTACTTGTCAGCAAAGGACCCATTATTTATGAGCTAATATTTTTTTTTTCATTTCAGAAAATATTATGCATTCCAAGTAGTATCGTTGCAAGTATGAATTAATCTCAGACTCTTCAAGTTTAAGTTAAGTTGTTTCTCAGCCCTTCAACAAATAAAATAATACCTCAAGAAAATAATTTACTACTTTAATTATTATGAGCACGTGGGTGTTATTTATAAGAGTTTTAAAGTTTAACCTGTTGAGGTTTTGAGGGATTTTTTTCAGTTCGTTCGAAGAATGTAATAATGTAAATTATTAATTTATAATTTTTATGGTGAGTTCTTAGTAATTATTCATAAAATTTTGGTTCAGTTTTTTTTCTGACCAGCTAATTTTCATTATACTAATATTGTAAAATGTAACAAAATTTCTAAAACAAAAATACATAATTTTTTTTTATGTAAAGCATTTCGTTTTCACAACTAGGAATGTGCACCACATTTGCACCCGGTCAAAAATTTTCAAGTATTAGATATGTTTGTTTAATCTATTCTCTTAAGCTAGTTAGTATTTTACTATATATAAAAATTATGGTGTCGCAGTTTTCCATTGTTGTATGTGTATTTTTATCGTCCCAAAAATAACGGGGTAGGATCCAGTTTTTTCACACTCATTTCCTTATTGTTTTGATTATCATCAGCAGAAAATTAATAAAAATCATAATCTATACATATTTTTGTATCCCTAATTTAAAGTTATTTTCTTGTACTGTTATTATTACGCTTTTCATTCAAGAATTTAAAATTAAGATAATTTTCATAATTATTCTGTGCTACATTTTAAAATAAAACTTTTCATAATGGTTTTCTAAACTTATTAACCGCTTTACAGTTATTATTTCAGTGCGAATAATTATATACTGTTATAAATTGAATTTAAAGAGATCTGATAATTGATTTAGAACTTAACGATCAGCTCCGTACACAATGAGATGTAAGCAGAAATAGAATTTAATATAACCGTCCATTTGGTAAGCGAAAATATTAAATTGCGGTTGTGAACTCATTAAATTTGTCTGAAAAATATATTGTTTTAACAATATAAATTTTATTATAAAAAAATAAAAAAAAATCTTAGAAAATTGCTTCTGTTCACCAATAAATCTGCAGATTTATAATACTAATACATGGTAATATTTGGACATGGCAAGTGAAGGTACAAGCGTAAGAAAACAGATTTTTTTTAGTACATACATGTTAAGTGAATAACTCTAACTTTAATAGGAAAGCTGTTTTCTGTTAAGAAACAACAATTATTACGAAGCAATCAGCGGAGTGATCAGCTGCAGAGAACAGGGGCATAGACCCCTAGTATAAAACATAAAAATTTAAGCTTTAAATAGAGTTTAAATAACTGAAACAGTGGCTTTTTTATTATTTTCTTTGGTGAGAAGACCCCAAAAAAATAATTAAAATGCGTTTTCCTTAAAATAATTTTTTCATTTTTTTATAGATCTGTCTTTTACTCTCTCGGTTAACTGCATTTAAAACTAATTCTTAATTTGTCCTACATAATAAATTGAAAACACAAATAACCACCAATGAAATTTATTCTTGCTGGTAGATTTTATATTTATCCAGCTGCGAATTTCTTAACTTAAATAGTGTCCAAGGTATATGATGAACTGTCCATTTTGAAAATATATTTCAAAATTGTAATTGTAATTTTAAAATAAAAATAGTGTCATCTTGTAAATTATTACCTGCTCCTAGTGTCCTGGTTGTTACTTCAACACTAGGCTCTCCAGAACCAAGACTATTGGAAGCTGTCATATAAAGATGATATCGAGTACCGCATCTTAGACCGCCCAATGAGTAATGGTCTTGGATATTGCTCAGTCGTAACTGCTCCCAATGGCCATCATCAGTTTTATAATGAAGCATATATTCTAAAATATAAAAGCAATGTGTAACTTAAACCAGAGAAAAATTATACAGTTAAGCTCCTTTTACACGTGAATAATTAGAAGGAATTAATTAAGGAGACCGATGAATAATTAGAAAATCATCGTTCAACAAATTAATAGAAAATCATCGTAAAAATAATTTTGATAACATAATAGTGCTGTTAATTTAGTACTTGATTTTAATATAGAAGATAATAGAGGCAATAATCTTGTCTTACAAATTAAGAGAAAATAACTGTAAAAATAATTTTGATAACGTTATGGCATAGTTAATTTAGTACTTGAATATGATATGGAAGAAAATGGAGGCAATAATCATCTCCTAAAAATTAATAAAAAATAATCATAAGATATCTTTGATAACGTTATAACGTTGTTAATTTAGAACTCAATTTTGATATCGAAATAGAGGTAATAATCATCTCATACAAATTAATAGAAAATCATCGTGTAAATAATTTTTATAATGTGATAGCGTTGCTAATTTAGTATTTGGTTCTGGTATAGGAGACAATAGAGGGAATAATCTTCTCTATTTAATATTCCGGTGAAAATGAAATTATCATCCCTACATATTCTTTACTTTTTCTTCTTCTTTTTTATGATCTTCATTCAGTTGGAATAAAAAAATCTTCCACTTTTGAGCCTCACTTAAAATGTATCGAAAGTAAGCCAAATTTTTATGTACTTAAAATAACGAAGATAAAAGAAAATAAATAATTTTAAAACTATTAACTTATGATTTTCTAGCATTTCGACGAATATTTTTAACATCGCATCAAAGTGGAATCATCTGGGACTATATATTGAAACAACGTATAAATGAAAAAGTCGTATAAATGAGACACGTATTGATGATGTATTTTTTTTTAAATAATGTAACAAAAATATTAACTCTCCTAATAATAATTAACTACCGTGTTTGTTCTCAATAAATTACTTTAAGTGAGCATTTTTAAAAGAACTCAATTGTTTTGTATATGAAAAATAACTTTTATTTTTTATTACATAGTACCTTTTTGAAAAGCTTGCAAGATGCCTTAAATCACATTTTTTCTTTCTTTAATGCAAAATATAATATATATTTTACTTTTTAAAAAAAATGTCAAATACATTACTTAAAAATATGATTTCAAAATATATTCATATGTTTTCAACAAGTCAATCTGTAAAATACCAGATTTTTTGTTTCGTTCATTTTTTATTATTTTTTTATAACGAAGAAAAATTAATAATCCTTAATTTAATTGTTCTTACTTACAATTTAAATTTAGAAAGTTGTTACATTTCGGATGAATATATTTTAATTACAAAACGCCTCACATATCAAAAGCATTTAAAATAATATTTAATTCATACGCGTTTACGAAAGCATTTAAAATCCGAATAATAAATCGATTTGATTTACCTGTTATGGCAGATTTATCCTTGGCATCTTTCTCCCATTTAAACTCGATCGATGAGAATGTAGTAGATATTACCTGAACTATGGGCGAAGTAGGAGGAGCTAAGAGACATAAAAAATAATTAAAGTAAATAATTCAATGCCAAGCGAGATTTTTTTCTCCACAGTACCATTTTCAATTTTTAAAAGCTAAATAAATTAGATAAATACCAACAATTTTTAAATCTACACATTACTTTTGTAAAAAGCAATAAATAACTTAAGCAAAGCAATATTTGACAATTTAGATACTATAGGATGCCATAAGCAATATTGAATACGATCGTGCTGATACAAAACATACAATGGTGAAGTACATGACAAAAACACCACGTGAATAGGTACCTGTTTCTAACGTTTTTCCCATTATTTGCATTGAATCAGGTCCGGCACCAGCAGAGTTGTATGCTTTGATGACAATGTCGTATTCAGTGAAGGGCTGCAATCCTGTTATATATGTTGATTGCTGTCCATTGCTGGAATGCTCAACCTGCTTAAACGTGTAGACTTCATCTGTTGAAGAGGCTCTATAACCAACATAATATCCTTTTAATTCACCGTATCTTAGCTCCTCGGGGGGCGGCTGAAAACAATTCAGAGACAAAATGTCTAAATAAGCAAGTAACGGAAATGTCCATTCATATATTTACAAACTACGACTTTAAAATAAAATAATTGAAGAAAAATATATTTATTGCTTGGAGAAATATAAATAAATCTTTCATAATCCTAAGAAAATTGCACTTTTAATAGGAATTTAACTATGTATCAAACGTTTGTTCGCATCGCACTTTCACAGAAACCTTCTCAAAGTTTCCATTTCTAAAATCACTATTATTTTTTACGAGTGAAAAATATTAACAAGAAAACGAAAGTGAGACCTACAAACTATGTTTTTTTCATTAGATATCTTAAAAAAATCACAAATTGTAAAAGTTTTTTTTTTATATAAAGACCTTAGTGGAGATAGGAAATAAAAATTTAATGAAAAATAATGAGATTTTAAGGGAAATATTGTTTAATTACGTGATATTGCTTTACCATGATATTAAATTTCAAAGCTTTTAATAGATTAATGATTTAAGTGACTTTTTTTTTAGAGTTCTTAGAGCAGGAAAAGGTTTCAAGTGCATTTTATTTTATTTTTGAACTAACGTTGAACAGCCGACCCAATTCAGAGTTTATGACTACCAATGTTCAACTCCGTAGCCTTGTAATTTTGAACCTAATCTAAAAGACAAGAGAACGCCACTTCTGGATCAAAAATTAGGGCAAACTACTCTTTGCACAGGACTTATTGAAAAAACTAAGCCCGAATTTACATTACAAGAAGTGGAAAATCACCAAAACCTCCCATGTTCAGGCTGAGGGTAAGCGGATTTCTACCCATTATCTGTATACCACTGCGGATATTTTACATCATTGGGAGGAGAATGTTCTATCCCCTGACCCACCGCGGCTCTTCCAGGTGTATTTTATTTTTATTTATTAACCATCATTGAACAGACTACTGAATTTTGTGTCTACGATTAATAATGTTCTACTCCGTAGCCTTGTAATTCCAGAATCAAGGAAACGTCTGGATCAAATATTGGTAGAAATTTGCCTTCGTGTTAGACTCGCTGATGGAAGTAACCCGCATTTGCGTTACACGGAAATGAAAACAATAAAAAATTCTTACGGTCAGACTGACGACAAGGGGACTTTAATCCATGATCGGTCTACCGCTGAGGATATTTTCTGTGAGAGCCAGTTGCGGATTTCGTATTGATCAGCCATCACTATTACTGGAACCCGGACCAAGTTCAAATAGCCATCGACAATTCGATATTGTATTTTTTTTTTATGTAACTTCCATTTATCTCATAAATTTACGGAAAACCCAATACTTTTCAAGTTAAATGATTGAATTTCGTAAACTTACGTCATTAGAGCATAACTGCAGCGTACTAGAGTGTTTTTATGGAAGAATATGTTTTTACAAGCAGTATGCTTAAATCTATAGCCAAGATATTTTTTTAAATGTTTACTACCGCAAAATGATAGTTGATAGTGACGTCTTTAGAAAAAGCTATAGAATCTTTACTAATTATGATTACTAATGGGCTCCACGAGCTGCTTTCTGACGTTCGCGAAACCCTAAAGTTTACTGCGCATTATAATATAATTCGCTTTGCTCGCTAACAAGATAGCTCCACATGAAATGTGAATTACTATAACTTACTAGATCATCCATGAAAAAAATAATGTTTTGTTCAATTTCAGCCCTAAAATTAAAAATAACAATAGGGATAAAATATCACTAAATTAAGCAACTTTTTCTTAAAAATCCCACATTGATTACTCGTCACAGAAATAGTCGTTGTTCCAGCTACAGAAATGATTTCAGAAACTGCATTAATACAGATATATTTGTAAAACTAAACAGCGAAATTATGTTGAACAAAATCTCTTACTGATGATTCAAAAACTTTTTTTAGAAAACACATTAATACATCCTGGGATTTGAGGCACTCCTTGTAATGCTGTCAAGTGACCTAATTTTTAACGGTTATCGCCTTTTAGAGTTAGTTTTTCAGATTTGTCATCAATGCTGCGTTATGTTCTACCATGATCCTTTTTATATTATATATAAATAGCAACCCTACTAATATTCATTTTTATTTGTAATTTAATATTCATTTTTAATTGCAATTCAAGAGATAAAAAGATCGTCTTAAGTGACGTGTTAGTGAGCTGCGACAATAACCCCGTATGTATCCATACATATTGAAACAAAGATGATGAATGTTAATCATAATCTAACATAACTATTTAAAATCAGCACCTACTATTCTAACCCTAGCTTTGTTAAAAATAACCTATATGACCTCACTTATCACATTTACGTCACAATATTAACCTGATTTTAATCCAAAACTTTTGAAAAGACATAAATTACTTAACATGCTCCGCCTGAACACGCTCTGGCTGCCAGGGTATTTAGTTAAATAAGACGGCTAATTAGTTAAATGCACTGAGTTGTCGCTGTGAAGGATTGGGGTTCCATTGTGATAAATTCGGTTAACAAGATTTACTTTGATATGTAACCTTTTTATCCTATTTTATTATTGATAAGTTTTCTCTTAACATACGTTACTGTGAATGACAGAAATTAATGGCTGTTGACTTCGACAGATGAATGTTGACAATCATATAGTCGCTATGGAAAATGTTCGAAATGTATATTAAATCTAGTTAAGGGCCACTGCCTGGTATGCATTTGCCCACTTTGCCCTACATCATTTTTTTGTTAAGGTAAAGTGCCCCTGCCCAGTATCCAATTAACCGGTACTCTAAACACTATTGTTTCTCCTAATCTATCATCAGAAAATACTAAAATATCAAATAAATATAATAATATCAACGAATAAATTAATATAAAATCGGATATAACAAATATTTCGGACATTCACCAAAGCGACAATGTGACTGTTGACATTCATCGGTTAAAATCAACCTTCTCTTGATTAATACGATNACATATCCAAACAAAGATGATGAATGTTAATCATAATCTAACATAACTATTTAAAATCAGCACCTACTATTCTAACCCTAGCTTTGTTAAAAATAACCTATATGACCTCACTTATCACATTTACGTCACAATATTAACCTGATTTTAATCCAAAACTTTTGAAAAGACATAAATTACTTAACATGCTCCGCCTGAACACGTTCTGGCTGCCAGGGTATTTAGTTAAATAAGACGGCTAATTAGTTAAATGCACTGAGTTGTCGCTGGGAAGGATTGGTGTTCCACTGTGATAAATTCAGTTAACAAAATTTATTTTGATATGTAACCTTTTTATTCTACTTTATTATTGATAAGTTTTCTCTTAACACACGTTACTGTGAATGACAGAAATTGGTGGCTGTTGACTTCGACAGATGAATGTTGACAATCATATAGTCGCTTTGGAAAATGTTCGAAATATATACTAAATCTAGTTAAAGGCCACTGCCTGGTATGCATTTGCCCAGTATACATTTTCCCGGCATACATTTAAAAGGTATAACCTTCCACGTATTTTTTAACGAAAGGTTCAGTGCCCGGTATGCCCTTCGTAATTTTTTTTGTTAGCTTCTGCCCAGTATGCATTTAACCTGCAGTCTAACCACTAATGTTTCTCCAAATCTATCCTAAGAAGATACTAAAATATCAAATAAATATAATAATATCAAGGAATAAATTAATATAAAATCGGATACAACAAATATTTCGGACATTCACCAAAGCGACAATGTGACTGTTGACATTCACCGGTTAAAATCAACCTTCTCCTGATTTCGGTCATCTGCGGTAACATATACATTAAAAGATCGACTATTACCAAATGTTCCATAATTAATGTTTATATTTGAAAGAAAATATCACGATCAAATGATGTGAATTCAAAGAAAATGCCTAAATAAATAAATAAAAAAATTTATACTTACTTTCCAGATAACCTTCATTGATTGAGCACCAGTGGAATGAACATGAACTTCCATAGGGGCTCCCGCAGGAGCTGTAACACACAAAATTAATAAATATATTAACGAAAAGGGAGAATTACGTCATTTAAAGCAAACAAATAACAAAGTGTTTATTAAGAATTACGTGATTGCTTTTCATCAAAGTAAACTACTGTACTAAAAACAAATATTAAATGTGTGGAAAACTAATTAAATTATAAAATATAATTTTTTTGAATATATTAATAGTATGTGTCAGTTTTTCGAAAGATAAAAACATCTCACAATGTATTGTAACTATAGAATTTAATTCTGGAAACCCACCTTTAGTGTGAATTTCAAAATAGCTTATCAAAAATAAACAAAAAAAAATATCTAAATACATTAGGCGGTATGAATTAAAAACTAAGAAATCACAAAAAGGCAATTGAAATCTGATAAATCACAGGTGAGGAAAATGGGTGTACAAAAGATTCAACCATGTTTGATTCCAGAAAAAAGTTGGAAGATTCTAAAAGACGATTTCTTGAAATTTGTACACACTTCAGTTTGTTTTCATATATCTTTCGATATTTTGTACACCCTTTTTTTAAACTAGATTCAGCCATACTTTGATAGTGTTTTTTTTGCTGTATTAGGTATTTGGTATGGTATGTGTGTTTTTGCTGTATTAGGTATGGGCCATGACCATAAAAAAAATTAAAATGTATATTACCGGCAGCAGTAATGGGACTGTCGGATAATTTTGTAAATCTTATCATTTCAAATTGCTTATTAAAAAATATGTAATTCATTCTCATATTTCCGATAATTAACACCATTTAATGATTAATAATAGTTCATACGATCTGTTTCAACTGAATAGTTGAGCATTTGAGGAATTGAGAAATTGAATGTATGCTTTGTAAAATCCTATGAATTTGAACGACCAATCAAAAATAAAAGGAAATGAAATAAAATTTACGACAATATAAGGCTCTTATCGGTTATAGGGACCATAAAGCCAAATTCGCCAACAAGTAGGAACAACACCAAATTCTGGTTTACAGATGAAATTACTGCCCAACATTAACAAGCATATGTTTGTCAAAAACGACAATATCTCAATCCTTAGCAACATGCACATCAAATAACAGTACTCATAAAATGTTGATAATGATATTATCGAATAATGATATCGCAATATCATTGTTTGATAATATAACATATCAAAGTGAATATATCATATTTCTTCAAAACGATAATTATTCATGATGATAACATTATAAGTATTAATACGTTTTATATGAGTAACTTAAATAGTGACAAGTATAAAAATAATGTAAATTATCTAAGACGAAAAAATATCGCGATAAATCTTTAAATATCGACGCTTCTAGACATTATATTTAGATATTAAAATGTGTACTAATTGATTAGAAGCACCAAAAATCATGTTGGTGACAACTAGGAAAAGCTGTCACCATTATATGATGTTTATATCCGGTAATAGTCCAATATCACTCAATTGAATCCAATGGATTTCAATAAAATGCAATCAATCAGAGCTTGAAAAAAATTTGCCATGTTTCAGGAAACAAGTTAACATAAAAATGAAATCACATCGGTTAAAAAAATTATATTTGAAAATATGAATTCAATTAACTCAAGAGTTAAATAAAATTGTATCAAGTTTACGCCGAAGTTTGAAATAAAATCTAGCCGTCTGCTTGGAATGAAAGAAAGATTTAAAACTATTCAAAAAGTAAGAACCAAAAAAATTAATAAGTAACTTTTATTGAAATCATTAGATTTTACCATACTGAAACACAATGTAATGGATCAAGGAGGACACGGGAATTATTCAAACAAATTAATGCAAATAAGATGAGACATCAGCGACAGTTTTATTAATCTTATCTCATACACCCTTCTTTAGGAAACATCGGATTTCTGACACCAATAATAAAGAGGAAACCGTAATCTAGCCTATATGTTTCAATTTGTGCAAATTTAAAATTAATAGCTACAATTGAAATATTTTCTGTTCTATTCATAACGATACATAACCAAAATAAATATCATGAAAAATAATAGAGTATAACAATAAAATATTTTTTACTTAAACTAATTTTCGAATGAGATATTTAAACTGCAAAATGAAAAATAAAAAAATAAAAAACTAGTTTTAATAATCGTTACGCTAATAATTTCCAGTAAAAAGTTAATTGATTGCATGCTAATTAATTCCTATTTAATTCCTGTTTTTAAAATAAACAAACATTTGGTCAAAAATAGTTGTTCAACTCATGAAAACTAAAAATTAAAATATTACCGCTTTGTCAATTAAGTCTACAACTATTTTACTCAAATTTAAGATTTGTGTATTTCAAATTAATTAGCTTAGAATACGAAAATGATTTTTTTTCATTCTTTAATTATTATATTCATTTATTTAAAATCACACTAAATAAATGTTATGAATTAAATTTTAATTAAATAGTTTCTGTTTTAAATATCTTTTTTTAATATATGTGCAGAAAAAATTTTCATTTCGCATAATTATTTCCACAAATATGATGTAAAGTGCGAAAAGTAAAACAAATTTTAAAGAACCATAGCTTTTAAATATACTCTTAACGAAACTATTGGGTTCATATTTTCCAGGAATTTCCTTTTTTTTAGATTAAAAAATTAAAAAGTACATTAATTTTCAGAGAGATTATGTTTTAGTTTCTACCTTCATAATTTATATTATCATCAATAATATTAATTATGATTAATTGCCAGTCAAAATTTCAAGTTAATGAAAAAATATCAACATTGTGACAAAAAATTATTCCAAGTAATGTTGTCGATGATTGTACACCGCACTTACAAACGTGTTTTAAAATTTACTTTCAACGCACGGTCAAATCTGTCGAAAATACTAATGAACAAAATTTCATGTTGAGAAAAAAAGCGAGTTTGAAAAAGTAAGTTCAAAAATACCAGTAAAATTTACCGCGTTTCTGGCTCTATGGAAACGCTACAAAGCGCGGTAATTTTACCGAAGAGCTGATCATGAGTTTGTTAAAAAATGAACAATAAAACATTGTCTTATAATATATGTGATAATAATTCCCAATATTATAATATTTAGTAATTTTGTCATATTTAGTAATTTTACAGTTCATTTTTTTTGTAATTTTATAACTCATTAGATGGTAGAAAAATTATTTGCTCGGTTAAATTTATTTTTCAATTTTGTATCGGTTACTAAACGTGTGTTAATAATAGCTATAAATTTGAAAACCATAATTTCCTGTAAACAGTTACCATATAAACGACCAAAACGACCAAATGAATGCTTTAAATATCGTATATGTAGGTTATATTAACCAGTTTTTATTACCATACAGTACCGTAACTTTACTGGGACTTTAGTTTTTCAGTTTGAACTTACCCTCTTCGTCAGTTGTAATCTCCAAAATATCACTAGGCTTGCTCTTTCCCAAAGAATTTTCAGCAATCACTCTTATGTAGTACAGCGCAACTGGAGTTAAACCACGTATGGTTGCACTTGTTTCTGCACTTGAAACTATCAGCTGAGAAGTCTGACCATTCCATTCCTTATCTGAAACCAATTGAAAAATTGTATCAGCTGTGTATAATAACTCATGCATTTAATGAAAACATTTGTAAACGTTATTTGCCTTTGGTCTCTGTGCTTGTTTATAAACTTATCGTTATCAATACGAAACCGCTTTATGATTAAAGAATTTCAAGAGGAATTTTTAATCTAAGTCACGCAGAGCCGTGATGGCTCAGGGGACAGAGCGTTCTCTTTCCAATGGCTCACTTTCCAATGAACCATGTTCGAATCCCAGCGATTGCTGGTTGATACGAATTCCGCATCCGGTTTGCACTGACCAAATTGCTGGCGTGGAATATCCTCAGTGGTAGACGCATCATGGGTTAGAGATCTCTTGACGTCAGGCTAACCATGGGAGGTTTTCGCGGTTGCCCTCTCCATATAATGCAAATGCGGGTTAGTTCCATCAAAAAGTCTTCCACGAAGGCAAATTTTCTTCCAATACTGGATCCATGAGTTCCCTTGTCTTCTGGATTTGTTTTAAAATTATAAGCCTACGGAGTAGACCATTAGTAGTGGTAAACACAAAGAATTGGGTCAGCTGTTCAACGACGTTTGTAAAATAAAAAAAAAGGTCTAAGTCATTCACAGAACAAGAATTTAATATCTAATACAGGTAACTATTTTCACTAAAAGATAATGATATGCATAGCTTTAAATAATATAGTATTTGAATGCATGGTTTAAAGCTAACAACGTAAAATTCCCTTCATGATTTCCCTAAATATTTGTACAGCATAGTGGCAGTTTCAGACCAATATTAGTTTTAATATTAAAACCAGCCTTACAGTTAACAAAAGAAAACCAATGGAATTTGTAATTTTTTTCAGAAATGAAAACTATGAAATACATACACATGAAATACACTCCTTTATGTTCTTAATTAACATTTTTTTTGTTTGCATAAGAGCTAATGCAAATGTCTGTTTTCAAAGTTTCAATGTTATGTCTGTTCGATTTTAAATCAAATAAATCAATTACAATTTTGAAAACACTTTTTTTTGTTGAAAAATGCATGCTTTGCATTTTTTTAAACTTTATTTCCATACACTCATCGCTGACTTGAGCTTAGAAATTGAACAGTATTACTTTTTATTTACATAGACGTCTGTAGCTAAAAATCACCCAAATTTTCAAAAGTTTTTAATTGTTTCTTTTTAAGTATCATTTCTGTTTTAAAAAAACAAAATAAAGATGTAAAATTAGCTGATACAATTTAGTTGTTTTCAAAAAACAGAATCAATCAAAATTGACAAGGAACTTTTTTAAAAGAAATTTATAAAAAAAAAATTAACAAATCAGCTTGGAAAACTTACCAGAAAAGGTTTGATATTGTACAATACTTCCAGTGATATGACTGTTTCCATTATCCAAAACTTCCCATTGAAGACTGATTGAACGACTTGTTACATTCGTCACAGAAACATTTGATGGAGCATCTGGCACACCTATGAAAAATAACTGATTAAAAAAAAGGGCGCAGATTTTATTTTTAAGAGAAATTCATATTAATGTATGTGAAGTTATTAGACCTGATATACTGTTCTCAAATAAAGTAGAAAAAATAACAATAAAATTCTAACTAATCTAATAGGACGACTAAATATGCTTTTATTAACTTATAGATTTCGAAAATAATAATACAGCATAAATGACAATTGTTTGTTTTCATATTCATCTTTAAGTTTTCAATGTTAGATTAATATGTGCTTAAATTTCAAATTTTAACAAAATATAACTTAATTCAGTTTAAGGGGAGCATATTTTTAAAACGTGTATAAAAATACAAAATCAATTCTTAAAAGCAATTAATTGGAGGCAATGAAATTGCATTTTGTGTACCTTCTTCAGGAATTGCGAAGGGTTAGCAAACTTGGGGCAAAGCCCATTAGTTTGATACAAAACTCATAAAAGATTTTTCTGTCATCTCTAAAGCTGTAGTATCGCGCCACTTTACATTAAAAATAAATCACTACGTCAAACAAATATATTTTTATTAAAAAAATAGAGTAAAAATCTACATAGTTTTATTACCTTGGACAATCAGTTTGATGACAGATTCGTCAGCTCCAATATCACTAAGTGCGTTGCATGTGTATATTCCACTGTCGTCACGGGACGCCTTCAAGATACGCAGCTCAGAAAGTGTCTGAAGTTTGGCTGTAGCTTCTTTTATAGCATATCTAAAAGATTTCCAGAAACAACAAGGCCATCAAATAGATTAAAAACTAATTTTAATAAAAAGATTAGACATTTATAATAGTATTGAAATATAACAATACAAATATGAAGGCAGGGCAGTACTTAACAGCGCACTGCATGCGTTTATGGGAAGATTTTCAGTGAATAACTATTAAAAAACATTTATTGATGTCCAGAAACTCCATCCGTATACCATAATGCCACGTTTCTCATGCATGAATTCGCTGTTTTCAATTTTCTACTTACTATCTATTACGTTCATTAGTATAATTCCAGTTGTTAATTTTCTATTGTTCAAAATTTTAGCTTAATTACAATTGATGCCTTTGGATGAACTTATGAAATGGGGATATTGATTATTAAATAAACTTACAACGAAAAGTAATTCGTGCGAGAAAAGTATTTGCTGCTGAAATGTTTATTACTAATGTAACAGTCATTCATTACAAGTATATTTAAAAAATATATGTCAATATTTCTCTATATTATTTTTCCTTAAATATTACTGTCTCTATCAATGGACTTGTTGTAAGTCAAATTATTTAATTGTAATCATAATGAAACATATAAAAAATTCTATAGATTGGTATTCATCTTCATAGGATAATATATATATATATATATATATATATTGTGAAGAATTGAAGACGTGTTTTATATTATGACTATTTTAAATTGTGAAGGAGTACAAAATTTAGTTAAGAACCGTGCCAAAAATGTTCATTTTTGGAGCATTGCCATGCTGGATGAACAACACATTAGTTTTTTGGTTATTAATTGAATATTATTTTTTGTTTAACCATTTAGAATATTATTTTCAGAAAAACGCTTGAAAAATATATATTTTATTCTATTCAGTACGTAATTCAATAAAAAATCACTTTTAATAGAAAACAAAAACGCTTCCCTTTGGTTTCAAAACTAAGCACAATATTAGACTAAAGAAGAGGGATTAATATTTTAAAAAAATGAAAATAGTTTTGGTACCTGGTTAGTTCTGTTGATTCTAATATTGCTTTATTTTTGAACCATTTAATGATTATCGGAGGATCTCCAATTGCGCTGCATGACAAAGTAGCGTTTGAATCTTCTGTTACTGTTTTTGTCTGATACGGATCTTTAAATCTTGGAGGAACTGGATAAATACACATCATCAAAATTTAAACAAAATAATTCACATAATGAATAATACGCATAATTAAATATTTTTTGAGCATTCATTTAACAGCTGCAATAAATTTATTTAGCTGTACAAGCGTATCGAAAGAAAATAAATCAGTGTGTCACGTTAAAAAGAAAAGAAAAAATAAATATAAATAACAATATTAATAATCCTTACGCAAAACCAAAATGAAAAAAAATCATAGTTTCACCTTTTTTCGCTTCATAACAGTCAGTGACCAGAAAACTGTGTTCCATACATTTTCCATAAAAGTAAAATTATGCCCGCAAAGCTATTATGACCATAAAAATAGAGTTCTACCATTAAACTTTTTCTTGTAAACTATATGGTCATTTACCAAGAATTAACGTTTTCCTCGTAAAAATTATCTTTCAGTTCGGACCTTCGCTTTGTTTGGATATCAAGAGATTTGTTACTCAAATCCAGCCAAATGATGAAACGAGGTGAAGTAGTAAAATTCTTATGTGGCCAGGATTAAAAAAAATGTTTATTCATTGTTCGTAGTCACCAGTATGAAGGAGAAACGAGGGAAATGCCTTTTAAATCAGCTTGGTATCAAACAGATACTTTTGGAATCGTATCCAGATGTTGCAACTACCATGGAAGATGTGTACTATGATGAGTTAGCAATTAGTTATTATTCTAGGCAAAGTTGCATGAAACCCAAATCTTAAGAAAAATATCATTTGTTTTTATGTTATTACTTATTTTATATTATTATTTATTTTTATTAAATATTATTATTTATTAATTTATTTATTAATTTATTTATTTATTGCTAAACTTTATTATTTGTTATTAATCATTTTATTTTAGATAAGGTTTTAAGCAGTTACGTAAAATAGAAATGGTAAAAAAAAGGGAAAGGTATGACGTACTAAGCCGTAGTGGTTAAAAACGATGAACTTAAAAGTTAATTATTTATTTTATGAGGTGCTTATAAACAGGAATTGTGACGGCAGTCAATCGAGACAAGCGAGCATTTGTTTAGTTTTTTTTTTTTTTTTTTTAAATATATACAAAAGAGTCAGTTATGTTTTATGAATTCTTTTCTCGGATAAAAAAAATTACGTTTGAGCGCTTGATTATATGTCATTTATTTAATTCGCTTTATTTGATTTGGCATATTTTTGGAATCCGTTTTATTTAACTTGATTAGAAATTACAGTAGTCTTTTAAGTAACAACTTAAAACACGTGCATCATAGTGCGAAATCCAAGGATGGGCATCAGCCTTCTAAAATATTATTTTCCATCCTGACCTTATATCAGTAACATTTCTCCAATTTTCACAGTTCAATACGAGGAATTGCTTCATCTACAGAATCATATCATGTAAATTTATTTCTTCCCCTTTGTCGATTCCCATATGACTTAGTCATAAAAATTCTTATTTTACCCCCCCCCCCCCNCCCCCCCCCCCGGAAAATAGAACAACGATTGACAGGAATAATAATTCTTCAGAGCTCTGGTCCTATCTTAATTTTAGTGTTAATCTCTGATCCGAGGTATATGAAACCATTCACTTTATCAAATTCATACAGTCCAATTTTCAAGTAATGAAGTGCAAAACTCCCTTAGGTCAAGCTATAAATTAAGTTTGCTATCTTTACCTTTCTCTTTAAGTTTAGAAATATCTGTTTAAGTGTCGCCGGTGTTCTTGAAATGATACCAATGTCATCTGCAATGGTGGAAATTTGAGTCTTATTAATAATTAAAATCATGATTAAATTTTATTAATTATTTTTATATTATCATTTATTTATTATTAAAGTTCATTATTTTTTATTGATTGTTTATTTTAGAAAATGCTTTAAGCGCTGAGGTGTCAAAAAAACGGAAGTGGTAAAAAAGAAAGATATTACGTACCAACCCGTAGTCTTTTAAGTAACGTCTAAGAACACGTGCATCGTACGTGTTTGTACTCAGTATTCATGTAATTAAAAAAGCGTTTATTGCATAAAATTGAGAATGCTCTAAAAATGTATAATTGTTCCTGCCAAATCCCTACATACATTAGTTATAAGCAACTTTCGAGAAATGTTCGATAATATAACTTAAATATGTTAATACAATTAAAATTAAATTTGAAACCTTTGCATTATAATTGCTTCAAAAATGCTAAACGTTACTGATTATTTGAACTTTTGGTACTCCAATTATAATTCCTTAAAATTGCTAAGATAAATATAGCTTTCGTTCCTAAACATAAAAGAGAAGTTAGGGAACATACATATAGATACATAAAAACATATTACCTAATACTTTGATTGTAATAATTTTACTTAAGCCAGCTCCAATTCCATTGCTTGCTTGACAGAGATAAGAACCTGAGTCACTTTCTTCTACTTCAGACAAAACCAATGTCCCATTATTGAACCGATGAGCTCGTGGGCTGGAATGAACGTATGTGAAATCACCAGCAGTGCTCTCTATGAAAGAAAGAACATAGTCAGTTTCTTATAATATACAACACTCATACCAATTTTTTGCTTATTTATTAAAAAAAACAAAAACAATAAGCATATTTTTAGTCAATGAAGACTGTCTCCAATTGATAAATCTCTTGCAAGGACAAAAACATTCTGGTACTCGACGGTAACGACGTATAACATAAAAAAAAACATATAATCATGGTAACAAGACAAAATATACGATATTACAACCATACAAACCATTCATATGGAAGCGATTTATCGCAAAGTATGGTTTTTCAAAATTATAGACCTGATCACCACATATTTAGTAAAAATATGAAACTGGAAACTAAATTTAACCAAATAAATGGTTTTTATATCATACTTTAAGGAATCATGATAAAATTACCAACATTTAAAATTTTTCTAAATTTTAACAATATTATAAAACACCAAAGCACTTCGGTAAAAAATTGTTTTTAGTGTTCCCATGAAATCAGAAACTTGATAAATTTTATTTTTTTGACCGTACTTTTTTTCTCAAAGGATGCTTTCATAAATCAGAAATTCCATTTATTTTCTCCAGTTGGCATTCAATCTACCCATTTTCGTAAAAGCTGAGAGATTTTTCGTTATCCCGAGTTATACNAGTTATTTCATAATATCAATCACAAAGGAAAAAGTTTCCGAAACTTTACAGTGTTATAATATTACAGAAGAAAAAACAGAAATTTTTTCAATTGAGTGTGTTCGGTTACTAAAACTTATTTATTACATGAAATTACCTTTGGATAAATGAATTTTATAATTGTGAGCGAATTTTTTTTCGATTTTCTTAAGAAGTTCGCAGATATGACGAAAAACGCAAAAAGTAAAATTAGCATTCGAGGGTCCAAACTTTGGATCACTCTCCTGACCAAACTATTTAGACCATATTTCCCAGATTGTGGCTACCTTCAGTTTAGGGGTCAGAAATCCGAATCCGTTGAAAAAAAAGGCAAGTTTTATCAGAGAAAGTACGTTTTTTTGTCTGATTTTGTAAGTTAAATATCGTTTTAACTAATTAGTATATTCGAGGTCAACCCCTCGAATCTTTAAGATGGAGTCCTGGAACGTGTAGATCTGATTATTAGATCAAAAGTTATTCAGGATGGCCAGTTTTTATTTTGTCTCACTGTGCATATTATAATTTTTGTATACTGGGTTTTATACTATCTTTTCCCAGTTTTTTTTATTATACCGAAACATTTTTTATTTATTTTTACTACTTTTATTTACGCCAATAACGCCATTTTCATGGTGATGTAATATTTATTTTTAAATTTTATGATTCTATTCTAAGCTGCAGAATAGATCTAGGTTCTTAAAATAAGTTTTGAATTATATATTTATTTTCAAAATATCACGGAAAATGCAGAAAAAAATCCAAATTTGTTGTTCCTGGAAAGTATACTCTCCAATTTTAGAGAAGAAAATACACCAACTTCCATTTCAAAACTACACATCGGAATGAACAAAAAACAGGTGTTTCTCTCTTTCCCCAATACTTTGTTCAAACTTTTTTTAAACATAATTTCTGTTTCTAAATTATGTTTGATTATTTTTCTTTTTCGTCTCTTTCGTCTTATTTATCTTCAGTTTTGCAAAATAAGAAGACAGCCATTCATTAGGGGAACAAAAAGAAGAAAAGGGAGAAAAAAGAAATGGGGAAAACAAAAAAAAAAAGAGAGACAAGCATGCTGTTGTTGTATGTTAAACTCGATGACAATTTATTTAATCTAATAAACCTTTTCCCGTTTCCAACTTTATAAAAAAGGCGCTTTGTTTTCCAATGGTTTTCCCCTAACTCATTTGTATTCAAAATATTTGGTGTGAAACAGTACGGATTGTTTTTGTGTAAGACTTGGGTAATTCTTTTTATTTGTTGCATTGTCCTAATTCATATAATCCAGCCTATCGTTTTTTATATACAATTCTCACTTAATTTAATTCTTAGGAATAACGAATCCTTTTTTTTTTTGCTCACGTAACAATCTATTCAAACTGGTAGCCCGCTTTTATTATTTAAGTAAGCTTGCATAAAAAAAATAAGGCTATTGTTTTATAAATCTGATTTTCGGCGTGAAATTCACGAACTTTGGAAAAAAAAGAAGATTCGCATTTATTTAATTAAAAACAATAAAAAAACACCAAAAATTAATCAAAAAATAATTTACAAATCTTTTAATTGGCTTACTGTATAACAGTCATTTAATGACTTAAGAGAAATAAATTAGTTTTTAAGATATTTTAAATTACTAATGAAGCTATTCAAATCAAATCTCCCACTATCTACCTACACTGTTTTTAAGCTACTTTTTAATTAAAGTCTTAATAAATGCAAGTAGATTAATAGGATTTTCTTTCCTAGAACAGAATAATTAATTGAAACTCAAAACGTTTGAATTAATTTTAAGGAAATTAATTTAAAATAGAATCAGAGGAAACCTTCTTAAAAATTTGCTTACGCTTTTAATTATTAGGCATTAAAAATAAACAAAAGATTTAACTGCTATTGGTGCTGCTTAGGAAAATTAAAATCCTTATTTTTCATTTTCGCTGTTTTTAGATGGTTTTTAATGATCGTGAAGGGATATTCAAACATTATTTATGCTAAAAAAATTCTAGTTTGATTAAATCCAGAAACTAAAAATGTTAGACTGAAAGATTCCGTAATAAACATCCATCATAGATAAATTTCTCAAGAGTCCTTTGAAAGCTGCGAGCGCTTTTTGTTTATGATCTGTTAAAAAAAAGAGCTTTTTCTTCGATTTATTTTATTTTAGCACGTTACCAAAAACATTATTTCCTGTGAAAAACGCCAAAGAAAAGTTACTTATGCGTTTAAGTAATTATATATATATTATAACATATCTTCAGCAAAAACAATAATTATATTTTTATTTTTAAGAGAAATTACAAAATACCTGTTTTAAACTTTTCTACTGGAATTTTGATACAAGTACGAAGAAGACTGTGTATAAATTTTAAGGCTCAGTAATTAGTTTCTTTTGTTTGCTTGCTTGTTTGTTTGCTTTAATTCAGTTTTTGTTTGAACTTTTATAAAAAAATCTATTTTTTTCGAAGTTCCCTGTGTGAAATTTGAAAAAAAATTTACTTTTGTCTTTATTCCACATTCAATTTTGCTTTGTTAATATTTCTACACACACTCTGAAAATGTCAGAGTTCTAACTTAAAAAAATCAAAATCTTATAGCTTTATAGACAAGTAAATAGAAAATGGGAATAACAAGTTGTAGGACTATCTTTGTGCATGGATGCCATTTTAAATTTTAAGCACATATTTAATTTCAAGCACATATTTTCAGCGGAAGAGAAAGGTAATAAAAATATCACGAATTATTTCAACGGTTGTGTTAACTCGGTTTGCCTACGATGGCCAAGCTCACTCGGATCTGAGGAATAGCTGATGCGTCAATAGAAAACATTATTTTTTTTTACTTTGTTCTTTTTAAGTAAGGTATCGCTCGGAAATTTGTACACATATAATAAAATTCTCTAAGGCGAATGTTTGGCCATATTTTGAGTACAGTATCTTCTTAAAATCTCTACTTCATCCCATATTACTTATTTGCAAACTTTGAAAGATCAAGTTTTTCAAGGATTTGTGGTTGGTTTCATATAAAAAAAATATTGCATGCTTTCTTATGTGGCTCACTTAAACATTTAACAAAAAAAAAGAAAATTAAATTCATATTTTTAGCTAGAGCTAAATAGACCCCAAGTATTTACTAACGAGAATGTAATAAGCGACGCTCTAAGATAATAATTCCCCAGAAAAATAGAGAGTAGGAAAAATACCTGTATAAATCATCTTTTTCCAAAGGATATTTGGAGCTGGGAACCCAACAGCTGCGCAATCCATCCAAACAGTGTTGCCAAGTACAACGGAAAGGTTTCTTGGCTCAACTGTCCATTGTGGTGGCACTATTCAGAGAAAGAAAAAACAAGTATTTGAAAAATAGTATTTTTTTTTTGGAAATTATCTTTACGCTGAAACCTAAACAATGCATAATTTTATTTTTCGAAAATATCTAATTTTAGAGAAAAATGACTATTTTTTTGCTTTGATAGCAACAATATTATTTTTTGAGCATTTACCTCATTTACACTAATAACAATGTTAATTAAATGGTAGAGCAATTGCGTACCACTTCGCATTGTCTTCTGCATAACTTTTTGATGTTTTTGAGAGATTTCGGTTTGTATTTCGGATCAAATTTTTAATTTTTTGAAGAAAAAAAAATCGCATACATAACTTATATATACTTATATTATAATTTTATAAATATTATAATAAACGCATTCTTATTGATTTGATACCAAAATATTGTTGTTATGTTCAAATCTTTCGGAGTATTGCTTTCTTACTAAAGCACGTATTCACTGAACTCAACAAACCTGCAAACTTTAAACTCCTTTTGTTTTTTTTTTTTTAAAAAATATTTCTAATAAAACTAAAGCCTTACATTTGGTATGTACTTAAATTAGGATGGATTGTTTGAGGTTAGTAAAATTTAAGAAATCGAATAATATCCCGATCGCAATTCGTTCAAAAGAGGAGTATTTCTTAAGAAAAAATATCAATTATATTTTTAAACTTTATTCAATGAACAATAAATCAAGTAAAATTAGAGATACTATATGTTACCTTCAAAAGAATTTTATGGGATTATTGTAAGTTTCGTTCTAGACAGTTACGTGTATTCTATGCATGACTCCTTAATCACGCGACACGGTAACCGGTAATCCATGAAACGAGCACTGATTTTCGTGTACTAGCTGAATCAAATTCATCAATAGTGAATAATTCCACATAGTTTTCCCCGATAAAGCAAAGTTCTTCATGACTGGAAAAGTAAACAAGCAGAATTGTTGGCTTTTGGAAAACAAAGAATCCCAAGTTCCCAGAGTAAAACGTGAGAGATTCCCTTTAGGTAAATTTGTTCTTAGTCGTGCTCAGAGATAAAAGGTTCGACCCCTTCTTTTTTCAAGAGAAAACTGTCACAGAAGTCAACTTTGTGTTGATGTCACTGTTTCAGAACTATATTGACAACTTATTCCTCTAATTGGGCGATGTGCCACCCTGAATAACAAAATGCGATAAATTTGTAAATTGACCTACAAGGCAATAACTATTCACCAACAGTTCTTTCTTCAGGATTATTACAAAAAAAAATTATAGTCAGGATGTAAGAAAAAGAAATATTGGTAAAGGAAAGAAAGATAAATGTTGGAATTAAAATTATCAAACTAGAATTTATTGATTTAGTAGAGTAGAGCCACCTTTTATTTGGAGCTGGCATAATTTTATAGGATTTTCTAACCTCATCCCTGATAATGTTTTGCATTATTTGCAAATTATTTTCATTTTTTCTTACCTATATATTGATTTTCAAAATTTAAAGTGTATATTTTTTTCAATTTATTTTTTGTGACTCTTAATATGAAATTTAATTATGTATAACTTTTCTTGTAGTATTCTGCAAAATATTCAGATGTTATAATGTAATTTTTTCAAAAAGAATTATCTGCTTTTTTAAGTTTACTTAATTTTTACTTTTATCTCGAATTTGACACTGTAAAGACTCTTATTTTTCATCAAGAACTTTGACATGTGATCTGACAGAAATTGCTTTGCAGTCATCTTTGAATTCGCCATGAAGCAGGAATTTTATTGCAAAAATAACAATCAATTTTATATACTACAGTAGAGAGCCGATTATCCAAAATTTGAATTACCAGATTGGTTAATTACTCGAATCACACGAAACCATGTGTTTTTTCCACCTTTTTCAACAAAAAAAAACCGTAATAGTGTTTCTTTACTTTCAGAATATCTGAAAAAGGATCGATAAATGACTTCTTTTGTTCCTCGTTGACATTTAAAAGAACCTCACGTATCCGCCCATTTTAATGCGGATGGCAAGTAGTTTCTAATCAGGAAACAGTTTTCTAATCATATTTTTAAAAGAAATAAACTTTTGAACACGCCATTTGTAATATGCTATTATAGAGACTACTACATTTGCTTATACATTAAGAGTAAATGGAAGTTACTTAACATTCACATTACCGTTTTTAAAGTTGTCCAATTATTTGGATTTACCGTTATCCGGATCAACTTTGGTCCCGATCTGTCCAGATATTCAGCCATCTACTGCTTGTTGTCATTCAATTTATTTCACTGACATCTTTGTTTCTCGTGCAATTATTTTAAGACTCCAATGGGAAGAAATGTAAAAGGAATCCAAGAATGTATAAAATAGTAACTGGTCAAGTATTAGTACTCACCGTTGACAACTAGCTGCATCGTTAAGTTTGTCGAGGACGCTACGTTGGATACAACGCAAGTGTAATGCCCTCTGTCACTGGATGACACTTTCTTAAAGGTGACAATCGACGAATCGTCGAATGTCTGAGCTGTAGTGTCACCATGTGCCAGGAAGGGAAGACCGTTTTTGAGCCATTGGAATCTCAAGGGTGGATCTCCTTTGGTTACTACGCACATAAGTTTTGTTCTGGAACCTTCATCCACCGTTACGCTCTCCGGGAAAAAGTGAGATTCAATGACAGGTGAAACTGAAACGAAGAAAAAACACAATTTAAGGTCCGTTTCAATTAGCTGAAGAACGAAATAATATTATTCGTAACTGCTTATAGCTCTTGCAAAATGTCCCCACATTTACTGATTACTGTTTTGTTCAAACTATTCATTTAGTGTATTGTCCACTAATTGCTTTATTTATTTTTTTTGCAACATGTTCCATTATTTGTTCCTTACACTTTCAGTTGAAGTTGGTATAGATTCAATTTTTCACTAGTTATCTATTTTTTACCATTTCAACACCTGCTGCCAACAATTATAGCTAACGAAATCATTAGCTTTATGCACAACTACTTTGTGCTTTATCGATAGTTAGCTCAAAATTATTAAATACACCATAGTTTATGCAATAAACTAAGATTCCATTGAAGAATTCTCAATTTTAGTCAAAGATCTATAAAGGCATTTATTGCATATGTTTTTGTCTCTGCTGGTAAAGGTTTTTTCTGTTTTCGTTAGCAACGAGCTTACGGTCCAATACTGCATTTAACTCATCTAACTCAAGAATCAGTTCTTGGACTAATATTATCAATGTTTTCATTTTGGAGGTGTGTTTGTAAGATATATGCAATCACTCAAAATAAACTTAAATTTATTTTCACTTTATTGAACAACTGTAATAAAGTTGTTATCTAAAATAAAATAAAAATAATTCAATTAATTTACAAGCATTTTGAGTAAGTTAATTTTTGAAGTACATTAAGTGTTATATTTGAATATTTTTAACTAAACTAAATCACGTTGTTTTTGAAGAAAAAATCTAAATTGACACTTTCTAAAATTCCTAACCTTATTTTTTTATTTTTTGAATAAATTGTTTACTTCCATACGCAATGTACCCTGTGGTGATTATTTGATGAATAAAAATTCCTTGTTTATATTTTACAAGGATTGCCCTGGTATCCCTCCGTTCTGTTGTTTCTTTTTTTGGCTCTTAACATTGATTGGCAGTTAATTTAATGAATATTGTTGCACTTTGGCTACTACTTGGCTTGAAGGCATTTAATGAAAAGTTACATATTTTTTTGTGCATATGATGCCTTTAATTAATTATCGATCACGTATTCGTTCTTAAGCATTTACATACTTCATATTGCTTGTGGCAAACTGTCACTCATCAGTTTTTAGCAATATACTAAATTGTATTTATAAAATAACGAAACAAAAGTATTTTAAATTCTATGGGAGGATGATTGACAATCATATTTTTAAAAAGAATTTTAAGAAATTTCCAGACGGCTATTTTAATTGCTTCTTTCCATGCTATAAATCGCTTTTTTTCTATTAATATTTAAGTACTGATCAAAAACAAATAAAATGAAAGTTAAAGAGAAAGTTTAGCATCCTAGTTCTTAGACTATAAGGTGAAATTTGTTAAAATTTACATTTTCTATTATGCAAAGCAGTGTGTAAAGAATATAAAGCAATTTCAAAAGCCAATCGTATCCTATTGGATACGGTTTTACTATTAAAGTGAAATGCCTATATAATAGACTATCTTTAAAATATAAAATATATATGCATAAAAACTAAATTATTTAGTATAATATATAAATTATATCAGCATACTTTGGCGAAGTAATTTAAATTTCAACATTTGATATGTTTAAAGCAAAAAAAAAAAATCTCACTAGGACAAAATTTTACAATATTTCATCTGGGACATAAATGGTTTGTGACGTTTTGAAGTTTATAGCAAATTGAGTTCTAAAGGGTGTCTTGTGCAATTTAACTTTAATAAAGTATTGTGGTACTTCAGTTTCATCGATTGTTCAGCAATTTAAAGTGTTAAAAATAATACTTCTAAAAATAGGATGACATTACTAATTAAAATTTGTTATTTCGGTATCTGAATAAAATATTGTGAAGAAAATGGATTGCTAAATCAATATATTCTTCAAGTTACAGATGGTATAAAGGCTTGCTTAAGAATTTTTTTCTAATAATGTAATAATATAATGTAGAGAATAATACTCTTAAAGTACCTTTAATACTTATGTTCAGAAACATATATAATGTAAAGGGGTCTGAGCTGTTAGACTCGGCCACCTACTGTGAACCGCAAAATTTAATATGCTTACAGGAGAACCACATTTTACCTTCCTCGCAGAAAATCTTTTAATCCGAAAGATACGTTTTTACAAAATAATTTATATATTAACAAATATTAAGTATATATTTAACATTTCTTGTAGATTCATTTCTGCTTTGCATAACAACTTTTGTAGTTAAGAAATTTATTCAACATGAAAAAAAAATAGTAAACCTTAACTTTTGCAGTAATCCAAGTTACGGAATAATAAAATTTTGTTTTTAAAATGCAGTTCGCAAATTTTCAAAACTTCTTAAAATGTCACAAAAATAATTAATTCAAATTTTTTCTCTTAAAAATTAAAATGCTAGTGGGAAATAGCTTTTCAGTGTGCAGTTCCATACTCTTTCTAAAGTTACCATAATCTTTCTAAGCGTGACGCTGCGTTTCCAGTTAAGTCTTTTTTCAAAAAGGTTTTGCTCTTTCCTCTAGATGGCAGCACATCAGATGTAATATTTTACTGCCAATATAGATTTATTTTAATGTATTTTGTTCTAAAAAAACTTTCCTTAAAATTGAGAAAATTAGGTTTATCATTACTCAGTCCAAAGTCACCAATTATAGGGAGTGAAAATATAGCTACTATTATAGCTACTGTGGAAATAGAATGCATACGGTATTATAACTTATGTACTGACTGTTGGTGGCAAACATGGTCCTAAAATATGCATTATTATTAGTTATTTCCTGACATATTTATTTAATTTTTGTTTACTAAAGTGCGAAAATTTTAACTATATTCTTTAGTTTGTTTTCTTGGTATGTTTATATTTTATAACCATCGTTGAACAGCCGATCGAATTTTCAGTTTACGACTATCAAAGTTCAAGTCAGTATCCTTGTAATTCTGAACCCAATCCAGAAGATAAGGGAACTTCTGGTTCAAGTAATGAGAGAAATTTACCTTTATGGAGAACCGTTTGATGGAACTAACCCGCACTTGCATCACATGGAAAGGAAAACCATGAAAACCTCTCACAGTTTGCCTGAGTCAAGGGGACTCCAACCTCTAATCCGTCTACCACTGAGGATATTTTATGTCAGCACTGGATATGTGTCATCTGGGTGTGGAATTTGAATCAACCAGTCCCATCAACTGGGTTCGAACCCGGGACACTTCATTAGGAGGTAAGAGCTCTAACTCCTGAGTCACGACGAATCTCTTGGTATTTTAAAAAAAAGATCAAGATACCTTTATGTATAATCATTATCTATGATTTAATGAGATTTAACCTGTTTGTACCATCCCATTAAATCATACCATCCCCTACCGATAGACAATACCCCAAAAGATTTCAGAACATGCTAAAATAAATAAATAAAAATATTAGTGATTCCTAAGGACAGTGTTACGCACTTTTCCGTTCGAGATTGTTCCTTCTGTGATGTTCGTTTTAGTTTTTCGCGTACCACGGCCCGTAAGTCATAAAAATGGTTATTTTTGTGCAGGTACTGATATCATAATTTATTTAGCTACTATTCTGAAATATTCTTACCGACGACTGAGACATGAGTCGAAGACGTCGAAGTCTCTCCTTCATTATTCCTTACAATGCAGCTGTATTGTCCTTCATCTGCCAAGCGTTCCACACTTTGTATTGTCAAACTTCCGCCGTGATTTATTTTCTGACGATGATTTAAAGGAAGAGGATTGTCACCTGAAACAGAAATTCATTACAGCATATTTATAACACATTTAATAATAAAAATTATTACACAATGGCATAAGTTTCATTTTTTTTAAAAATATTATTGTATTATAATGAAACAGAATAATACCGAATATATTGTATTATACCGAAGCCTGCGGACGCATCCCTTCTGCTAGGTATTAAAATTTTGATGGCATGTCTAAGGAACTTCCTCAGAAATGATTCCCAGAAAGTCGCCAATAGCCCATTGTGCAGCTCTTGTGCGACGTAAATAAATTACTTCTTCTACTTGAGAGCACATATTTAAAATTTTATTTTGCTTCATTAGGTTCCATATTCTATTTATATATATATCTCTCATGTGGCAACATGAACTTGGTTATTCCGTTATATATTGGCNAATTAAATACTTCTGTTGCCTACTATATTGAAATGACCCTAATTAATAATTACTTTGATTTGCCTGACTTAATGGTTGCTGGACATATTTTAAATTATTATTAAAATTCAATGCACAAAGAGCTTTGACAATGACGCCAACATTCCTTGATTATAGTTAAAATTGAAATAAAAGTGTTTATGCTCAGCAAATTCTGTAAGCATCAGTTAGACGGCGAGGAATTTTGGTTAATATATTGTTTGAAACTAATTAAGATGGAAGAAATGACGAGGAGCGGAATAATTTGAATATTTAAATACATATATACTATACAAAATCTATTGGCCGTACTGGGTAATTTCAAAAGGTGAGCAAATTAGACACCAAAAGTGGCTAGCTTGTCAATAATTTTCCTAGTTATATGAGGAACCAATGTGTTTTTGGTTACATGTACTTCCTCAAACTAAAATAAAAGTGAAATTAAATTTTTAATCGAAGTTTTTTGTGACTTAAATATTTCCATCACTGTTTATGTAATTCATGTAGATTGGTGCATATATTGATAACAATTTCTTGTTTACTGGGACATTTGTGTACTTGGGGGTAGGGGAATATTCAATCATTATTTAGTATTCTAATTGTTTGAATGTCACCAAGACATTTGGCACCTTCACAGAGTGCTTGCCTTAAAAGCATAAATTGTGATGTTATTGATTTTAGCATTATGAAGCATAAAATATACAATTAACTTATGCCGAAAGATTTTATACACTAAAGACCTAAATAAATAAATAAAAAAACAAAAACAGTAAGATAACTGTATTGGTCTTTGAGAAGAAATTTAATTGTGTGCAATAAAACTCTCGAAGTTTTACATGAGCTACTAACTATTATATATCAAATGGGAAATTAAACTACCATTATCTATTATAAAATAAAGGGGGGAGTTTTTCTCTGTGCCCATAAGCGTGTCTGTAATAACTCCAGAAACGTTTACTCAATCCACCTGGAATTTACGCAGCGGGTGAAAGGGGCAATTTCTGCCCTTGTTCCAAAATATGTATTAAAAATTATAATTAGATCCTAGGGGAGAGGAGTTTGAAAAACAGAATTTTTTCAATGGCTTAGAACTCGCCATTCAGGAAAATGGGACTGCAGACTATTTTCTCTCTTGCAAATATTCTAAAGAATATATCAATATTTGCTAGCTATTAGCTCATTTTAAAAAAACCGTTTAGTGATCTTTTTTTTAATGTTTAAGTATTGAGTATGTGTTACGTCAGATAAACAGAATGATCAACGCGAACATGATAGCATATGCGGATTACGTCGCTAACATAGTACATCTAAAAAAACTGTAACCATATGTTAGTTTGTTTGTAATTATACTTTTAAGATGTGTTTATTAAAAACTGAGTAATTTAAAATAAACAGCTATTGAAAAAGAATGTTCTGTAATGATAATCTAAATTAATGGATAAACAGTGTTAATTTGTCTAGAAACATGAAAAACGTCATATTATTGTTAACACCAATGATGCTTGATTAAATTTTGCTAATATTTTTTATTTGAAACGAAAAATAAGTTAGGAACATTAAAGCACAATTAATTTAGAAATAATACGTATTTGATACCTTTTGATAAAATAAATATTAAAATCTCATTATACTAGTTTTGATACCAATGATGCTTCATTAATTTTGGTAATAGGTAGTTATTGATGTGAAAAAAATAAGCTATGTTCTAATAAATAAACTATTGGGTGAATGGCACTAGTTACTGGTATTAAGATGTAGTACTAAGGAAAAAAGTTAAAATTTGCAAAACTTGTATTAACACCAATGAGGCTTAATCAATTTTGATTATAGGTATTAACTCAAATTTGAAAAAGCTATTTACAAAAAATATACTAAATAAATGATGCTAAATTATTTAGGCAGAACTTAAAATTCACAAATATTGTGTGAAAAATTTTCTGGCCCCCCAAAGGCGATAGTCGCACGAAAAATTCTAGTAAAATTACCGTATAACATTTCTGGTAGGAAAAAAATATAATTATGCTCAGTAACCATTTAATAAACCATTTAATATTGATGGTTTTGGTGTAAGTTTTTCAGTTCTATGATTTCGTAGTGTTGACCGGTACTTATTTATGATTATTTTCTTCCTTTTCACCCCTACGAAGAGCATGTATTAATCAATTATAAATATACAATTGACAGGTACAACTGATTTATGCAAAGTATCGTTCTTGAGAGCAGACTAATAACAGTAAAATCAAGCGTAGAGAGCGTGGTAGAGCAGTATTCGTTATGAAAGACAGTGCGCAAAATTTCTTCATTCATTCAAAACTTCATAACATTAGGTATTTGACCAAAATAGCACTATAGGTTGATGAAACTATTTCTGTGAAATTCAGTGTGGTGTTGCAATAATTAAGTGCAAAATGTGAGCAAGATATCTTTTGAGTTCTTATGATCGTAGGCGACAGGAATCAGGTCAAAATGTCACCCCTGTGGGAGCAGTAATGGGAGTGTCACAAAGTATTATCTCGCAATTAAATCATCGCGATATTTACAGAATCTCGCTGAAAGTGAAAATAAAAGTGACTGTTATAGGAACACCACACCTCATGGGGAACGATATGTATCACCAGTAGCAAAAGGAACAGAAATGTCACTGAGAGACAGACAGTTGCAGACCTTGTAACAGCTACTGGTACACATGTTTTATTGGTAGACATGCTTCTCCCCGAACCATATCATGGCGATAAAATCAAGTTGGTTTGCATGCACGGAAACCTGTTCGATACATCTCGCTTTAACAACGCAATCATCGAGAAGGATTACGTTGGCGTAAGGAATGTATTATTTGGGGTCGCCAACAGTGGTCTAGTGAACAACAGTGGTCTAGTGAACAACAGTGGCCAACAGTGATGTTATTCGCAGAATCCTAATTTACTATGAAAAGTGATTCAGGCTCCCAGTTAGTGTGAAGGCAGGAGGGGAAACATGCTATGCAACACATGAACGTGAACGTCATAGGTAGGGTCAAGGCTTGTCGCTGTGGGCAGGCATCATGCACAATGACTGAACACTGCTACAAATCTTTGAGCGAGGTCATATTACATAGCAGTGGTATTTCAGAGAGATTATTCCGTACTATGTGTGTCTTGTTAGGAGTGTAGAAGGTTCAGACTTTTTGTTTATAGAGAAAAACACGTGTCCATGCATGTGCGCTGAGGTGTCGCACACACTAGAAAGTAAAGATTGCAACCGCAAGCGTTGTCCTGTGTACTCCTCTGACTTAACTCCTGCATGCCTACGATGCTCTTGGCAGACGAGTTTCACAAAGAACACGCCATTTCGAAAGAACTCAAGAGCTGAATACCGCCTTGAGAGAGGAGGAGGACAATACCCCCCAAGGACTCTTCGATTGTTTAGTGAGCAGCATGAAGAACAGTTGCGAAATGTGCATTAGTGTTCGAGGTAGTCACGTATTTTACTGAGGAACTCTATTCTGCTTCTTTCTTGCAAGTGGACTCATTTTCATAGTTGTTTGGAAATTGCCCAATGGACATTTTTTTTTATTTTCAATATTTTTTGATGCGTCGATATCTGATCTATTTTGTGTAATAATAAAGGCACATTGCCTCTACTAAATATATACTTAGTTCCATTTCATCAATTAACGTTCATTATTAATTATTCCGAAAAACGTAACTGTTCCTTAGCAATATTCAAGCAGTGTAAAATGTTGACCGGCTAAAATTCGTCCGAAATAGTAGCACTTTTATCAACCGCGTATTAGTTCTATATATAACTCCTGAAATGTCTAAGCTAAACATACATTTTAAAATAGTGTTAAAACTGTTAGAAAAGCTTCGTGATTTAGAGGAACATTTAGACCCGTAAAAGAAATAAACGTCTTAAAAGTGACCAATCAATTGCTTCTTATATCCGAACGTATTATTTATATAGTACAGTAAAGTTGAAATAAAAATAAAATATTCAAAAATACTTAAAGTTTGAAAATATATATTAAAAAAGGAAACATGAATGTAAGGTTTCTTTGAAGTAAGATATCAATAATATTTTAATATTATGAAAATATTTATTCTCATTTTAGTATTTATCAGAAATTATTATTTTTTGTTATTAATTATAATCAGAAAGCAAATTAGTAAGTATTCATTGCAAATATTATTTTTTTTGAATTGAATATTGTTTTTTTCCTAAATAAATATTAAATAAATAGTTTATTTAGAAAAAATCAAAAATTTTCTAAAAAATGAAGCTTTTTTTTTGTTTTTTTGACATGTATTTTAAAGAGACAATCACTCACATGAATGATATGAAACGTTCTCATTTAAATATTCCGTTCAATGAATGCAAACAGACATATTTTCTTGAGCCACAAAATGTTTTCTATTTGAAAAATCTTTCCTGTCCCAAAAAAGTGATGGATTTTACATATATTAGATTCAAAAAGCACAAAACGCTCGAATAAAAAGCACCAAAAAGGCATTTCTAGTAAGACAACTTACATTACAATGCGTTATCCGAACATTGTTCCTCATTCTTATTCTGAAGCAAACATTTTTACGAACACAAAAACTGTCTCTAAATTTTAAAGAAAAATCGGATTTAAATTATTTCCAAATAAAAGAATTGTGAAAGGAAAAGTTTTTCTTCAAAATGGAGGGACAATAACACACTAGATAGAGAAGAAATGAGAAAAATACATCAACATACATTAAATAAGGTACTAATTTTCTCTTATTTTCTTTACGCAAATTCATATTAAGAATACCAAACACAAAAAAAAAATCTTCGGAACTTCAAAAAAATTTCTTAATTCGACAGAAAACAGTTTTCTCAATAAGTTGTGTGTTTTGAGTTTAACCGAAGATAAAATATAATAATAAAACACTAGAAGAATGAAATTAAAAAAGTTGAATGCTTTTCTTTAATTTGGACTTTCATTTTTGACGCATACTCTTTTGTTATTTGCTTTCAAAAGCTACTTATATAATAAAATTTGGCCGGTGGTTGTTTATATATCTGAAAAAAGACCTGAAGCATAGTTGATTTTTTTGAAAAAAAAATACATGAAATATTGAATGATGCTTGAAAACTCTTGCCAGATTTTGACATACATAAGTATACTGTCATGTTTAAGTTTTTTTTTTCAAATTTCGCATCTGAAACTTAGGTTATCTTTAAAGAAAAAAAAATGTGAAAAGTTTGCCAGAAAAATATATATGTCCATGTATGAGTAACGTAGGCAAAAATTTTGTTAAATTATGACGTAGTTTTAAATGTGTTACAAAATAAGTACTATAAATTATTAAGTTTTTGTAATTATTTCAAGCCTTAATTTTGCATTACTATAATCTTTAGTATCACTATACAATAATAATAAGACTAATAATAAAAATAACGATACTTATTATTATTACTATCTTTATTGCTGTAAGTTTGCATACGAGAAATTGTGGAATTTCAGAATCTAAAAATTTCAGGAGAGCATTTAATTTAAGATTTTTTTTAAAATTTTCCATTCGAAATGCGTGTATAGCCTTTAAACTTTTTTAATGCATTTTCTTGTGCATTTTATTTTGCTTGACCTCAATTTGAAATTGAAAATGATAAAGATCTATTTTTTACTCAGTCGATTCTTTTAGATTTGCAAAAAGATAAAGATTGATTGTGCAAAAGAAAAATCAATAATCCTTTAAAGGGAAAGGGAACATAACCTTTCAAGATAGACACAATGAATTTAAAAGTTCTGCTAGACATGCACAAAGAAATATGCAAAAAAGATATATCTATCGCTCTACCAGTAGGTTTATACATTCGTTCGAATAGGGAAAGAACGCAATTTTTCCTTCACTTTACATCCGATGCATAAACCAAAGTTTACGAAATTTAGAGAAAAGGATGAATGTTCTCTGGAAAGAAATCAAGTCTGGAAAAACCTTTCTACTTACCTACTTGACTTACTTTCTTTAAAGGGGAAAAAAACGCGATTTATTTCCTTAAAATGCAATATACAAAAATAAGAAAAGGAAGAAATGCGAAAAATAGGAACGTGATTTTTCACCGCAGATGTACTATCTCCTTTGAAAATGCTTCACTTGTGCAACTAAACTTTCAGCTAAGTCTAATTTCTTGGTGTAACATAACAGGAATGAAACAAAAGTTTTGCATTCCAAATGTATGTGATTTCTTCAGATTTGTTTTCGATTTCGAAAGACCAGTGACGAGACTTCAGTCAAGATTTTTATTTGTTTTGATGCTTTGAATACACTTTAGAAAGTTCTTAAATTTCCCGGTTTTCTTCATTCGATAGACGAGAAATAGCTTTAGTTCAATAAGTCAGAAAAATGTTGAAAATATAGTTTTTACTTGTTCCGTTTAGTTATTTTTCTTTATAATAATGATAAAAAAAGTTTTAATAATTTTAACTTTCAAATATTTAATAAAAAGTTATTAAAAAACCGTGGCAGGAATTTAATTACTTTTAACTATCATAATTAATTACATTATTACTAATATTAGCTGAAAATAAATTTTATTTATAAGTGCTAATTAGAAAATGATTTTTTTCAATTAATGGAAACTGGAAAATGAATTTAAAATTAGCTATAATCGGAAATTAAATATTTGTTATTAATGATAATCAGAAAATTATTTTCTATAATTTTCCTTTAATTTGGGGAACTTTAACTTACTGAAAATTTGAAATTATTCGTTTTTACTGATTTTCTGAACTTGCTTGCTTCTGAACTTACTTGCTTTAACTCGAAAGATTTAAAAGTTTGCGGTCGATAAAGTTATAAATAAAAATAATAATGTTTTTGTTGCCTATACCCTTGCAAATTATGAATAATCAAAATTTTAAAATTAATTAATTCATTACTTTTTCATTTTTATAACGCTCATCAAAGCTTAAATACATTAAAATTCAATCCATCAAATCAAAATTTTAATGCCATGAAAGATTAAAATATTAGTTTTAACATCTTTGATTCTATGTAACACCAATGCTGCTTTCAAAATATATGATCACCAAAATATTAGCTTCTAAGATACAGATTTTGAAAATGTTATATTCGATCTGTAAATAGCATTATTTATAATCAAATCATAAAATAGAAAGTTGTATGAATCACATTTAAACTTCACGTTACTCAAATATATTTTCAAATGTTTTCAAAAAAAATATTAGATTTTGATTTGTAAGTGTGTCGCATATAGGAAGCAATTAGATTGATATTCCTTTTCTCTTATTTTTTATAACAAACATAGTTATAAATTCTTACGAAAGAAGGTATTTGCTTATTGAATAAGGAAGAAGAGGGATATAAAAAAACATCAACTAAAAACTTTTACTATAATCAGGTCAAATAATATTCTTTTGCAATAATTTAAGTTGCGTCCTTTAAAGAAATTTAGTTTTAAATTGCTTTAAATCTTGCACTCTAGTATATTTTTTAACTATTTTATTTATTTTTTATTTTAATTTCTTTCAATACTCACTTCCGAAACCAAGTAACTTTGAAGAAATAAGCAATAAGATTTAATTTTATAAATGCAAATTGTTTCTATTTTTTATAGTTTCTTTATTAATTTATTATAAAAATATTCAAACTTTTATGAATGTTTTGCATTTGCACATAAGAATCTATACTGTAAGTAATTCATACAGGATAATTATTTTTTTTTTTATTTCTCGTGTTTTAGAAGTACAAAATGAAAAGGAAAGAAAACGAAGCATAGAAGAAAACGAAACACAGATAACGATTGATTTTCCCATACCCGATCGCTAGAACCATTACAATTAGTAATTAAAGGAATTTTTGTCTCGGAAATACATTGAAATACCCTTACAAATAATACCTATGGAGGTATATAATTATGGGCACTTTGATTGGCTTATGTCTGAGGGACATTATGATTAGCCAATGAATGCTGAACATTATGATTGGCTAATGCCTTGTGGACATTAAAAATATCCCTTGATAACATGGACAATTTAAAGAAAGGGCAAATCTCACAACCGCTTTGTGTTTTCACTGAATGTTTACTCTTCTGAGACCCAAATTTTTATAATGGAAGAAAATGTTATTTTACTTCAATATATCTATGTAACTTCGGTGAAATATAACCCAATGACATTATTACTTAATATTGAAATTCTCCTCCAAGAAATTGCTTTGATAACATTTTTTCAACCATATTGTTCTCTTCGAAACTATATAGTTCTCTATATATTTCCTGAAATCACTTTTCACGTGATATAGTGTTTTTTAAAAAATGTTTAAATTTAGAGATAAGATAATTCTGTTATAATCGTCATTCTTTCATTAAAACCTTCTGACTCAAAGATTACGATTATGAATTCCCTGCGTAATTTTTACTTTATAAACAGCCTATCAGTATCTTTATAGACAAGCAGTATTCTAAGACAGTATCAAAATTATTACTTTTTAACCAACGTATTCCTTTAATTGGATGACCTCCATATGGACATCTCATGACCAGATCCTCACCAGAGATCGCTGTGACGTTGGCCATTCGTCTGACAAATGGTGGACCATACACGTTGAGACGATTGGAGTGGTAGGCACTTCCTACGTCATTGCTCACGTGACATTTATATTCACCGCTATCCTCCACACGTATTTCGGTAACATTGAGAAAGCTGATCACGTGCCCTTCATCACTGACGTTATCTCCAGCTGTAACTCGTGGACCATGTCCTATAGCTGCATCGTCTAAGTACCAGGTCACTCGTGGTACGGGATTGCCAGTAGATATGCACTTGAGAGATATAGAGTCACCGGAATTCACTGTGTGCTCAGGAAATACCGAAACCAGTATCGGAGCAACATCTGTAACAAGCAGATACTTTTTTTTTAAATATGTCCAGCATTTATAAACAAATATTGAGATTTTTCCCAATTTAAAGTAATGCATCGATGATGATGAATAATTTAAAATGAACAAACTTTACGTTAAAATGTCAAAATGTATGTAGATAAATAAACTGTGTTTAAAACTATATAACACGATTTCATATAGCTGTACTAGTGTTTTCATTGCTATTATGCTATAGTAAGAGATGTCGTGCGTAGTTCATTTTTATGAATTAAAATATTTCTTTATTTATACCTAAAGGAATAATTCCTAAATTTTAAATTAAATATTTTCTTATTTATTATTTAAATAATTCTTACATTGGCTGGACTATGAAGGATGGGTCCTAGCCTCTTCATGAAGTCTTTTCCAGACTAATATTTTACTTGAAATTGTTTTTTGCCCGCAGAAATAACACATTTTTCTTTAATTCATCTTACCATCTTAAATTTGGTCTGCCTTTTCTTCGAGTACCTGTTGTCTTGGCACTAATTTTTTTAATTCAATTCTTTGTTGCCTTACAAAATTAATGATATCTGATTTCCTACATAAGTAGTAAAGCTCTAAATTGAATCTTAAATAAATCATTTACTTATTTGTAAAAACAAAGCCCATTTTGAAATGTTTTCAAACGAAACATTAAAGAATAAATCACTTTTAGTAACAATTTTTTTTAATATATTTAGGTGCATATTATAAGAAAATAACGAATTGCTTAATTTAGGGAAGCAAAACTGCCGTGCATCGTTCAAAAAAACCTCACGAAGCTAAGATTAAAAGCTTGCATTAGCTATCTAGAATAACAACATCAAATGCTTAAGCAACTGCAAATTTAATAAAATGTGTACTAGATTATAGTTCTTACCTGAAATTTTAAGCTCTGCTGCTCCTTGTGCGCTGTCTGCATCATTGAAGGCAAAACATTGATACATTCCACGGTCTTCTCTTCTCACTGATAAAATGTGAAGAACTTCGCGGGAAAGAAGTCTCACACGTGTAGAGGCTGGTAGTGGTCTCTGGTCTTTTTTCCACGTCACAGTGTGTATTGGATAGCCAGTCACATTGCAATTAAAAGTCGCTTCCTGGCCAATATTTAGCACTTGGTGGGAAGGAGATAGATGAACCATCAGTGGTGCTATATCACAGAAAGGAATAATTTTTTTATTACAATGAAAAGTAGCTACACTTGATAGAAATATTTGAATAGTAAAGTCTCTCAAATTCGAGAATTTTGTAAAAATAAATAAATGTATAAATAAATAGTATAAAGCAGTGTGTATAGACTTTACTTACTACTCTTAAAATTAATTTAACCTCAGAAATTTAATTTTTAATCAATCTTAATTCAATTATAATCAAATTAAATTAATTATTTAATTTTTATAACTTTTTATTGAAGCACTTTTTATTGATTTTTATTGAAATATTTTATTCTTTTCTTAACAACAAATACAACGGCTATCTTTTTAAATTAATACAATTGTATGACCCATTAATTCACAGGCGCGTGACTAAATCGAATATTAAAATCTATTCTTATTTTTCTTAAGCTTTTTATTTTTCTGAAACCAAAAAGGATTCAGTTACAGAGTTGTATTGAATTCTCACTGTCTCTTTGGTGATTAAAATGCAGCCAGATTATTTAAAATGCAATATTAATAAAACGGCGTTGGCGTTGTTTTTGGCTATATTAACAATGTATCCTTGGCGGCATGTTTTTCTTATCTCGCCATCTTTGGAACTCTTTGCATGCCAATAAGTTTCTCTCAATAACTATATGTTCATTGGGAATTTAAAATTTTTGGGATTAAAACTGAAGGGCTTTTGGATGTCCGTTTCAAATTTTGAAAAAAATCAGATACATAAAATTCGATTTCGAAGGAATTATTTTACCCATTTTGCTCAAATATTGCATTTTGTCATGTAAAATTGCTTTCTACAAAAAGATACAAAAACTTGTATTACTTACACTTCAAAAATTTTTCGACCATTCTTAAATAAAATAATAAAAAATAAGAAATGCTTACTAAGAGTTATTTTTTGCACAGAATTGTATTTGGATAAACAAATTTTATAATTGAGAGTAATTTTTTTAATTCGCTCAGCTAACTCTCAAAATATAGCGGAATACGCAGAAAATAAAATTAGCATTAAGGAGTCCTAACTTTTGAGTGATCTCTCAGATTGTGACTACTCCCTACAGTTTGTAGGTCAGAAATCCAAATCAGTGGGGGAAAAATATGTTAATTAAGAGAAAGTACGTTTTTGTGTCTGATTTTGTAACCTAAAATATCATTTGTATTTATTAATTAGCATATTTGAGGCCACCCCCTCGAACCAATAAGATTGAGTCCTAGAAAGTGAAAACCCGATCATTCGGAACAAAAGTTATTCATTCTGGTCCGTTTTTTGCGCCCTTACATAAGCTATGCGTTTCTTAAATGAAGGAAATTAACTGTTCAGTGTGTTTTTACCTTTATTTCAAAAATTATAGAGTTTGCATTTCTTAAAATTTTTAAAGTTACATTCGAAATGAAACAATGCCCTTATTTATTCAATGACTGGTCATGTTTGAAATGTATTGCCATTGATATGTTGTTGGATAACATTACCTGTAACAACGAGGGCACTTTCGATTCTCCTCTCTTCATTCTGGTTCATTTTTTTGCACACTTACATAAGCTATGCGCTTCTTAAACGAAGAAAATTAACTGCTCAGTGTGTTTTTACTTTTATTGCAAAAGTTATAGAGTTTGCATTTCATAAAACTCTTCAAGTTACATTTGAAATGAAACAATGCCCTTATTTACTCAATGACTGGTCATGTTTGAAATGTATTGCCAATGATATGCTCTTTGATAACATTACCTGTAACAACGAGGGCACTTTCGATTCTCCTCTCTTCATTCTGGTTCATTTTTTTGCACACTTACATAAGCTATGCGTTTCTTAAACGAAGGAAATTAACTGTTCAGTGTGTTTTAACTTTTATTGCAAAAATTATAGAGTTTGCTTTTATGAAATTCTTTAAGTTACGTTTGAAATGAAACGGTGCCCTTATTTATTCAATGACTAGTCATGTTTGAAATGTATTGCCAATGATATGTTGTTTGATAACCTTACCTGTAACAACGAGGGCACTTTCGATTCTCCTCTCGCCGATACTGTTCCGAACTATGCATTGGTATTTTCCACCATCTGAACTGGTCACTTTTTTAATGTTTAGTGTCCCTTGACTGACCCAGATGCGACCATCTTCTTTCACTGGCCTCAACACTCCATTCACATCCTTCATCCACCTGAAAGAAGAGCGTTTCTTTTTATAATCACATTAACTTAAACATAAATAGTGTAGGTAGTTTCCATTAAACCATTTTTAAACGACAAACAATTTAGCGTGATACGGAGTCAGAAACGAACGGAAAAAATTACTGCATGTTTACTTGAATTTTCCGTTTATCTTCAAACGGAGATAAATATAATATCAAACAATTTTATTTTAACAATAACTGAATATGTTCCGATATATTAACAAACTATTACCCTTGTTTTTTTGTTAAATTAAAACTAATGATTTTCCTCAATGAGAAAATTGTGTATTGAGGCGAAATGTCAAAAAAGCTTGATCAAATGCAAAATGTTTGGTCTGCCAATGACTTATTTATTTGAATAGTTTTGACTGCAATTCCCCCCTGTTTCAATAAATAATTTACTTTTGTAAATACATGTTTCATCTAAATACATGTTGCAGTGAAAGGCGTGTATCAGAATGTTATTTTTTCTAAATCAGAATGACAGTTATTAAAAAATGCCTTCAATATTCTTATAACAGTGAAATTAATTTGTAAAGTTTTAGAAAAAAAAAAGAAACCGCTAGACCAAACATAATATTATGAAACTAATTATCAAAAGAAAACAAAGAAGAAATATATTGTTAATAATGTAAACACTTCCCTTGCTTAAAAAATTTTGAGTGTGGAGAAGTGTTTTTTTTTCTTTTTTCTTGCACCTTTAAAATTAGTGAAGCAAATGAAGTGTTTGCATTTCAAGCATATTGAAATGTACTAAAACATATTAAATCGTTGAATGTTAAATGTTTTAGAATTGAAAAAAAAAACTAAACACACGTGGTATTTATATTTACTAAAACAACAGAGATAAATATTTGAATCTATTATTTTTTCAAATTATCTAAAATATTTGAATTAAACATTCTTTAAAAAGCGAAAATGTAATTATTTTTATTTTTTAAATTCTATGCTGTTAGATTTTTTATAATGAAAGAAATAAAAACCTAAACAAACTTGAATTTATGATTTAAAAAATCCCCGTGACTTATTTGAATTTATTATTTTTTACAATTATCTTAAACATTTTCGAATATGTTAGCTAATCTAAAGCATATTTGAATTGCACATTCTTCAGAAACGATAATGCAATTATCTTTCTTATTTTTTTCCCTCTAAGAAAAAGTAAAATTGAATTTCAAGCCTCGAGAAACGTTTCTTCGAGCACTTATTTCATGGTCGCTTAAATTTTTAAACGGAATCATTTTATGTCTCAAAAAAGCTTGCTTGTCTCTTTTTATTTATTTCCATCCAAAAAGGCCATTAATCTTTTCGGGTGTCTTTCAAATGTTTGAAGTGTAAAAATATTATTTCTCGAGCAGCTGCTGTTCCATAAAAAATATCAAAAGCGAGAGTGTCAAGATAACTTAAGTGATCTTTTATTTCCACTCTTTTAATCTTTTAAAAAAAAGTATTTGATGAGAAAATATTGTTTTTCTTCGCAGTGAAAGAAAAGTGTGACTCTTAAACTTTGAATTTAACTTTCAGAAGGATGATATTTTGAAATGTAACTAAGTATTAATGAAATATGCCTGTTGTGCGTACAACTTCCGATTTTCGATATCTTTGCAAAGAAAAATTTTGAAATAAATTGAATATCGGTGCTATAACCCGATAAATGTCGATTACTGACAAATCATTGTAAAATTAAGAAACAATCAAGTGACGATATATTTCTGGTAATATTAGGAGAGTGTATCGAAACTAATGGTTTAAGCTCTATATTTATTAGGCTTAAGTAAAAAGGCTTGTTAGATGTTGCGAATCCGCAAGAATCACTATATAGCTTGAAAGAGGAAATGTAGTTGCCTAAATAAATTTTTGGAACAAGATGCATAAAATTACCTATGCCTAAAATAACTATAGAGTATCCCTTATATTGTAAGTATAGTCTAGTTGTGATTCAGTATATGGAAGTTATTTTTACTTGAAGTTATTTTTTACTCAGTATATGAAGTTATTTTTACTGATGCCAACTTGCTCCGGACAGCAAATATATATTTCACGGTGATAGTTCATCAATTGTGATTCTTGGTTTAATAAATTCCATTTAGTAGATTCCTATCCACCACTTTTTCTAAATAATTCGTAGGCTTATATAATTCACCACTTTTTAGTATTTATATCATGATTTACCATTTAAAAGCAAGCAAAAAATAGTAAACTATTTGCAAAATTTACTTTGAAGTTAGTTACAGTTTTTTTTAATTATTTTGGCGTGTCCGCAGCAGTTGGCATCTCTGTAAATTGAGTTAGATTTAGTTTTGAACTCAATTATATGTTTTCAAATCACTATTGAAAATGAATGCGAAGAATATAGCTCAAATCTCTGTACGCTGCTGCGAAGAGCTGCTGGTGGGATTTTTGAGACATATAATGGGGTGAATGTGTGAAGTGGGAGTAGAATTGGAGGGAGAAGGTGTGCCATGCGTCAAATAATNTTTTTTTTTAAAGAGAAACGAAGAAGCTAGAAAACAAAATCGTAACAAAATATACTGCCTCATTATAAACACATCTGATTTTATCCACAAGTCAGTGTGCTTTCTAATATTGTATTAATATAGCCGAAGCTAAATATATTAATACAACAGAGAGTGGAAAACCAAAAATCGGGTACAAAAATTTTAAAAAAATATCAAGCGAAAAGCACTAAAATGTAAGAAAACAGAAAATAAAACGAAAATTCAAGAAAAATACAAAATAAGACACAAATAATAGCACACAAAGCTAGTGGTGAGATCGAGCGTCCACTTACTATAAAAATATTTTAGTAATTAGTTTTCCAGATGACAAAATATGAAATTAAAATGTAAATAGAGAATAGTTGGATGTATCCAGCATGCGTTCTTACTGAGGTACAAAAGCGCATTTGATTTGCCTGGTGCCTTGGATTGACCTGAAACTGGATTTGCGCATGCTAATTACATATAAAACTAGATAATTCTAAGTTTGTAAGAAATTAAACTTCGAATTTATGTTTGTTGCCGAATTGTATTTGCACATGGTAAAAAAAATAAATTTAGATAGTAAACTTTTTATGAAAATAAATTCGATAATAGTTTTAAAAAAGTAATTCAATGATTTTATATTGAATTTATTCACATTAGTTTGATGAATTTTTTCTCTAATTAAAGTTTAAACGAAATTATCCATTTGTTTCTTAGATAAGTAAGTTTTACTACAAATTCTTGTAGTTCTATTTATTTAATTAAAAATGGTACTCAAATAAAGGTTTTTAAGATGTAATTAGTAATTAGTAGTATATATATGTACATAACCCACAACAACGCGAATAATAACTAAGTATAGGAACGGACCTACTGTAGTTTCGAATCTTTAAACAAGAAACTTCCTCAATACCGAGACCCAATATGGGAGTATGAAATGTAACCAGACAAACGCGTGCAAAAAACTACTTTGCACGTGCTTGTTAGATGAGTAATAAGTTTGAATAAGAAAATAATGGAGGAGAGATAAGAAACAGGTGTGAGGACGTGAAGAGAGAGTCCTCAGCTGCAAGATGTAGAATGGTTGTAAATCACTGCAAAATTGTGTTTATAACTGCCTAAAATATTATTAAAATTGTTAGAAGAAAATAAATTCCTGTAAAATTCACAAATACCATCTAGATGATCTAAGAAAAAACAATGTTTTGAACTAACTTCGATACAAAACAATAATAGAACAAAACGGGAATGCGGAATCGTAGGCTTCGTGACTCCCAAATGGAAGGAGAAGGTTTCCATTTCCTCTGTAAGGTTTCCATTAGCAAACAATGAGTATGATGGTTATATGAAACGGAAAAGACTGTTGTTGTAAATCATAGTGCAAAGTTCATGCATGTACAGCAAACAAAATGGAATCTTTGAAAAAGCGAAAACCACTATTTTGTTGCTTAAATAAATATTCCTAACCTGAGGATTGATATTCAAAAGTAAAATAGCTATCCTGAAGACGCATCTAAAGATCTTTTTACTTTATTTTACAATACAATAGAAATACTTTAACAAAATCAAAAACAGTTTCATTTTTCACTTTTCTTTATCAATTACATTATATATTTTGAAACAAAAAGAGGGGAGGATTTTTTGCACAAATTCAATAACGAGCAATAAATAAAATATGCTTGAAAAAGTAACATACGTTGCAATAAATTACATCTTTCTTTTTATCCATTTTTTTTCTCAATTTTTCAAATAAACTTAGAATGAAAACTAAATTAATAGTTACATCAACTCTCGCATGCATTAAAGAAAGAGCTTTGGTGATTAAGTTATCATGTTCACGTAGCTCCATTTTTCATTTTTATGAATCTCCTCTTCAAAGGTTTGTACGTGACTTATAAACAATTTTCGAAGCAAATTTCTCCCTCATGATTAAAAAGCGTAAAATGTTATATTTTGAACATTTTACTTTAACAAAATACTTTTTCGACGAATTTATTTTTTAAGTTTGCAAAATTGAATAAGTATAAAAATCTTAAAAGTTTCTATAAGGAAAATAACAAATTAACGAAGTAAAGAAATTAAACAACAATCGAATTAGTTGCTCTAATTGAACTAGAATAAGGTTTCTTTCTTATTTATAATTAGTTAGAAAAATAATGTCATGATCATTAAAACTACTCGATCACAAAAAATTATTTAAAAAATGGTCTCTTTTGGCATTTTAATCTCTTTATTATTCTTTATTAATTTACTATACTTTATTATTATTCATTATTAAGCAAACAAATATGTTTGAATAAGTATCTTTTAATTGGGGTAAAATAATTAATTAGGATAAATTAGGTTCTTGAAATAAAAAGCTTATCGTTAGGTATAAATAGCTGGACCATTATATATTAAGGAAATATTCTTAAATAAAATCTTAAATTATTTTATTGAATAAGTTTTTAAATGAAAATCGTATTGTCTCTATTTGATCATATAATTTCCAATTACTAATTACTG